TGATGAATGCATTACAATGAGTTTACAATAAATCTTCACATTTTTTATCGAAAAACCAAAAAAAATTTATTGGAATCTGAAGAAAGAAGAAATTTATTTTCAAATCTGAGATATGTTATGATACTTAGTTGATGTATAATTGATGCTATCAAACATTTATATGTTCAAAAGCTTAAAATTTTGAAACCGATGGAATGATTATTTCATAAAAAATCAAACATAACACTACAACATAATACATGTGATAAGAATAATCAACAACCAAAACCTGTACATCAAATATGTACTTCATTGATTAACTTTCAGCATTCTGATTTCATAATTGATCAGCAATTATTTTCTCTCTTCATCAGAATTTTAAACCAAATTGATAAAAGAAGAATTAATTTTTTGCAAATTTATGTTTTTTAACAATGATAATCTCTCTCATATTTTGAATAAGAAATTTCTTATCTTTTCTTATCATATTACACTTGGATCCAATTCTGAATTCAAATTATTTCTTCTAAGCTTTTAACTAATCTTTTATATAATGATATGAATGTGATTAACTAACTTTAGTAAAAATTACTTTAATTAATCTGTTTAAAGATAATAGGATGTTCAAATTTCATAATCTTTACAAGCGTACTTTATGAAGTGCATTAAGTGCTTATATGATATTGTATTACATTCACAATTTTACTTTTTTCAAGAAATAATTTACATCAGAGTTTAATACATATAATCTGTTGTGTGATAAAATTTATTATCTTGCAATAAATAAGAAATTCAGTGAAAAAATATATACATATTATGATTTAACTTACTTTAAATGTTCAAGTAATCAAATCAGATCTATCATAACTAAAATCGCTTAAATTATACTAAATTATGTTATTGATCTTTTGATCATATACATCAAACTTTATGAGTGTTAAATATTCTAGTAAAATTGAAATTAAACTATTTTAGAGATAAAGGTAATATGTTTAATTTTTATTAAAAAAATTCATGAGCTCTATGATCTCATAGACAAGCTAAACTTTTGTTACTTCAGAATCTATACAACATTATTTGCATTACATTACGTTACATAGTGCTAGACATATGAAGATGACAACTATACAACAACATATCTATGCTAGACATTAAAGTACATTGTATGAACAATATGTTTAGTAGGTTTCATGATAAATTGTCGAAAAAATTACCATGCTTAACACAAACATATTACTGAGACCCATCACATATCGTTTAATCCAATCAGATCCCACGAACGCCACATGTCATCCATGTTCTAAAACATGTTGGGACTTGCTGAGAAGAGTGTATATGACCAATAAACATATTGGGTGTTGATAAATGAATATGATTGAAAGCTTTTTGGAACAACAGAAGTTGTACTTGAAGAGAAGGATATATTCATTGGATACAATAGTACAATATCCAAATACTTTTGGTGTCCACAAATGTGAAAAATTGCAAAAAATTATGCCTCAACATGTAACACTTACTCTAAATCCAAGATACCTTGTCATCAATCATACGGTTTATTTCAGCCACTTTTAATTGCCAAAATCTCATGGACTTCCTTTAGGAACTTTCAAAGTTCAAATTTTTTTACAATTTTTGTTGTAATGTATCTTTTGGCAAATATGTTAAATTTAGTGTCTTACAACAAGAGTATCAAACTACTTTTTTTTTTAATGTGTTTAAATATTATGAACATTCAACAACATCATCTTCAATCGTGAACATCAATTCACAATTATGTTTTGACAATTTTGTTCAAGATCTTAGAAACAAAGATCAATCTATCATTGGCCTATCATCTTCAAACATATGCATAAATCGAACAAGTGAATCAAATATTAGAGCAATAATTAAGATGCTTCATCAAGTACCATCAAGATAATTGTATCAATCTACTTCTAGTCAAAGAGTTTGTTTACTACAAAACATTTCAAGAGTTCATTCATCAAATTTTTTAGATAAAGATGTTTAGAATGGAACCAAATGTGTTATGTTGGGCTTGTTTTTGATATATCTAGTGTTGGGACATGTGGTAGATGATGAAGGGGGTATGAAGAAAAATAATATCTACATTGAAACCTAGTTTTATAGATGAAAACATCATTAGATTGAAAATAAAGAATTGAGCCAAAAATAACATGTCAAAAACTATATATAAACACTTGTAAGAGAGACGTAGTACAATTCTCCTTGTCCGATATTGAAAATTCTTTATAGTTAAAGAATATTAGTTTTGATTTCAAAATTTAAAATCAATTCAATTCGGACTGGTCTAAAATGAATATACGAGAGGGGTTGGTAATGGTAGGACCTAATTACTCTCAATTTGAAAGATCTGACACTTAAGATTTTGAAATTGTAACGATTAGTGATTTTGAAATGAAAAAGAAAGAAAAAAAGAAAAATCTAGATAAAGACACCTATGAAATGATCGTTTTGATGACACCAATTTTTTCGTTTGAAAATTATAGTTATCAGACACGATTTGAATCTTTAAACTTGAGATTAACAAAAATACTTTTGCACAAGATTTTGTCATCAAACATTTGGACATCCACAAAAACATAAAGTTGAGGCTTGTAGAAGCTCAATAGATGTAGAAGAAAAATGTAAAAAAATTCTCAAAACATAATCCAAATATCTCAGAGAGATGTTTGGATGCGTCGCAATTAAAAAACTTGCTAACTTAGCGACAAACTTCACTATTGTAATCTTGTACTTTTTTTGTGAGTATCAACAATATAACATACAAGTTGTACATGCCATCATTTATGAAAGTTCATCCAATATTTCATGTTTCTTTGCTTGATCCGTGTAGAAAATTAACTATTCCAAGAGATTTGCCATCAACTTTGGCATCAATCAAGATTAAATTTAAATAAATTTGAAGTTTCTGAAATACTTAACTCCCTCATCAATGAAAAATAATTAAAACATCTTTTTCATGGGCACATCTATGATGTTAGCAAATAAACTTGAGAACCTCTTGCTAATGGTTCCAAAATGATTAATAATCTCATCGTCAATATTTGACAAAACCAAGTATCAAAATATCAAAGATAATTAAATTCAACATGTTTGGACCAAGATCAGCACCGAATCTATGTAATTATCACATGAACTTCTTCTAATAGATTTTTTGTTTCTTTTTTGATAAAATAAATAGAACAAATTGTGGAACTTGTTGTTTGAAAGGAGTAAATTGTCACGGACGTGACATAACAGTGGTAGTGACTCTTTCCAACTTTGAACTAGTAGCGATGGCGGTGACATTTTCCAACTTAGACTGATTCTGGGTCATAGTAGTAGTCTCATGGTATTATATATAGAGAGTATCAAAAAATTGTCACTCACTCTTGTGAACACCAATGGAACCTTCCTTATTTGTTATGTTCAGATAAATAATAATAAAAATTCATGTTCTTATTCTTTATTTCCCTTTCGGGGACATTGCTTTTAGTTCCAACCGTGAGGATGGGTTATAGGCCAACCGTCACGGCAGGGCTTACTCCTTTATATACTTTATTACCTATATTTTTCTATTTTTCATTAAATTTTTATTTATTTATTTATTTTGCCGCTGGGCATTTCTTACTCTTTTTTTACTCAACACTATTAATTTTGTTTTTTTACTTTGAGCGTTATTCGAGTAACTTTTTGCTGATTTATTTTGATCTTATTTTGAAAGAAAATTTCAATCTAAATTTTTGTTATTTCATAGAATGTATTGTACTATATTTCATTTTTTTTATGTATTAATATACAATTCATATGTATCAAAAATTTGAAATAAATTATTTTCTCATTTAATATAAGATCATGAATATTACATAATGATGAATCCATATATGTATATTGCTTCAATGTTATTTAATACCCAAACTAACATTTATATTTACTCTTGTTCTGTAATGTACTATGTACTTGACCACGCTCTGCAATTTCAAGGTTGAAATGTTGTTCTTAGAACGTGTAATTAGATATTTATAATACCACTATGTTGAAAATCAAGAAATAATCATTCTCATTTTAAAACAACAGTCAAACTTTAAAGGTATCTATCAGTTACATAATTTTGCATTTCAACATGCTCTACAGATTTCACGCATTGATTTGACTTTAATTCTAGTTGTGAGCTCATTTAAAAAATCAACTGAGAATTTCAAAATACTCTACGCTTGTATTAGGAGATTACAGTATACAATATATTTGAGTACTTTCTATCAAAAGACATTAAAAAACATATAGACTGTATTGGCAAATAAGTAAAAAAATGTTTACGCTTAGAGTATTCTATTCTCCCTTCCATTTGACATGATTTCTTATGTTTGTTTTTAAGTTCATTCGAAAGATAACTACTCAAGATACCAATAGCAGTATTGTGTTTGATACAAAATTTAGTATTGAGAATATATGTTTCACATAAAGAAACTGTCCATTCAAAACTTCACTTGTTCCTTGTTTACGATATTTTAATGAAACTTTGAGAATTATATAGTATGGTTTGACTAAACATTGGTATGCATTCTAGTTGATTGCATGTTTTAAAAAATAAAAATTATATGAAATTACATTAAATGTATTTAAAAATTAATGGTATATAAATTGTGAACTTGTAAAAACAAAAAAATTCAGCCTTAACCATGTACACTTAATTTTTTCACACAAGATTTCCTGATGTAACTTTTAAAATGTATATTGTAGGCTATCTAATATCTAAAAGGTGACATCATGAATTTATAATATTACGTTTCAAGCATGTCAATTTCCTATGAAACAAATAAGATGGTAGTGCTATGCTATATACATCATGTTCATGGTTATTTGGATGATGCGAAGATGTATGCATAATGCTCAGTCACAATAAAGGGTTCCGAGCAAAGATAGTTGAGATATTTTAGGTGCATACCATTCTCAAGAGTGATGCTGCCGGGGCAAGGGCTTCCCATCTTCCCATTCTTCCCATCCACATTAAAACGTTACTTCGGGAAACCAAAGTTGTTGGCTAGAGTGCGCGAAGTGTTTTGCAGAGAGACAGTTTTGAATCCACTAGCAGTTTGAACCGCTTGTGTTCATAAAGCTACAGCAAAAGTGCTGTAAAAAGTCATATCTCGTCGTGGCCTTCTCGTGGAGATAGACGTCTTCGAACATCAGCGTCCGCATCGGCGATTGTGTCCGTTCTGCTAGCCGTTTGACGGAATTGATGCAATTGTAAGGTCAGTGTAGAAACACTCATCTGCTCGTTACATCTTCCACGATCACCAGACAGAGACCTCTCACACATGATTCGAACGAACAGAGATCCTAAACAATGAGCTGCTGAAGCGGAGGGTACTGCATTGGGCAGATATATTACATAAGCACGTAGTACTAATTCAGTGAACTCAGCCACAGACAGGCACGCCTATCCTCCACAACACCTACTGCCTCCTGCGCTGCTGAACTTCCAGCTGATACAGAACATAGCGTCTTTAAGCGGCAGCACAGATATAATCGGTGAAACGTGGGGAAGATCTGCAGATGGGGAAACAACATGACGGGTATTGGGCATCGTCTTGCCGACTCTTTAAATGCGCCATCTATCTCTATCTAGCATACTATATACCTATTTTTTCGGCACGGAGCCAAAGAAACTAACAGTTTATGCCGCATGCCTGCAAGTTTGGTCCCTTCGTCCTTGCCAGAAATGGATCTATCCGCACCCAGAGAAGGGAGAAGATGGACGCCAAAAGAATCGACCAAACTATAACGATGGTCGGAGTTCGATTTTGGCGTCCCATCAAACCCTTCAAGAAAGGATACAAATGCACGATGACCCAGAAGGCAAAAAACAGCTTTCCAAATAGAGGACCCCATGATTGGTAGCCATTATTAATGGCGTCTGATATACCTGCGACTATACCTACAAGGTTGATAACTATCAAAGTGGTGGGAGGAATCAACAACGTCGTCCACTTAAATTCATAGAGCTCTCCGAAAGTATCATCCTCGGAGGCCTTGGCGGTCACAGTAAAATTGGTGTCAATGCCAGCTAAAACCTTCAACAGTCCTTGAAATAGGGCAAACAAGTGGGATGAGACACCTCCAATGACCCAAAATTGCTCATTCCGCCACCATTCATCAATTCCAACCCCGCTCCATCGCATCTCAAGAATACCGGTAGCGAAGATCGAAAGAAACAAAGAGATAAACCAGAGGCTCGCAAAATTGCTAATCTGCAGTTTCACATCGAGAGGTACGAGTTAGTCAGGCTTGATATAAACATAAACCTAAGCACTCCAAGGAGCCAAGTACAGATGAAAAGAGTTGGATTAAAACGTACCGTAGGAATGATAAACTTTCCTGTGAGCAAACATACAGCTGGCAGACTACAGTAAGCAACAAGAGGTAGAGATGTCAACGGATAGACGGTAGTGTTGATATACGCTAGCCTCTCCAAACACTTGAGCCGCCCTCCAAATCCATACCAAAGAGGGCAGTGGCGACTGAGCAAAATCTCAACTGATCCTAAGGCCCAACGCAGCACTTGATGCAACCTATCCGAAAGATTGATTGGTGCAGATCCTTTAAATGCAGGCCGTCTCGGCATGCAGTATATCGAACGCCACCCTCGACAGTGCATCTTAAATCCTGTCAAAATATCTTCTGTCACTGAACCATAAATCCACCCAATCTGGCAGAAACAACCCAACACGCAGTTGTAAGTAGTATAGCCGATAACTTACTTAAAAAAAGAATGTCAAAACTTTAAGGCGAAGTATAACTATCAAGAAAAATAGTCAGGACAATAATGGACGTCGCAGAAACACGGAGCCGCTATGCCATTCTGATATACTTACCTCCTTACCCCACTCGGTTTTGTCCTCATATCCACAGCTGATAACATGTATAGCTTCTTTCAACAAGCAACCTGGGTTCGCAGCATGCGCAACGCCTCCATTCTCCTGTAGGGAGGACTGTATCAGCACCGGGGACTGGCCAAACCTTTTCTCAAAGTTTGTTCCATACCAGCTCATAAGCTTTGACCTCTCATCCTCCATGCCTGCAAAATACCGGAGGTGCTTGAGTTCAGAAACCAATTCAGGATAGCAGTACATTAATAGCTAGTATGATCCTTGAAGGACGAAAATATGGTACATTAGGATTTCAATTTAGGAAATTTTATATCACTTTCTGAAATGAGAACAATGACCGAGCTTCTATTTAACGAGCAAGAAAAGTTTATCTCACCCTCCACACCTTCCTCTATGTCGTCCATACTGTACAGTGGCAGTTGTTGTCCCTTTAGTTTCTTAGAATTTTTCTTGTTCTTTGTAGTCTTCGTCGAGGCAACCATTTTGTTTTTCTTCTCTTTTCGAGGTCCACAACACCAGTCTAAACACGATCTCTTGTTTACTTTAGGCTTCAAGGGGGGCTCGTAGCCATATAAAGCTTGCCTTTTGAAAACACAACCAGTCCCAACATAACAAGGACCTTGTATTCCGTCCAGACCTTTCAAGTTAATCTGCATAGGGGATAATATACCACCAAATAATTTTAGAGAGAAGTTCGTCCTGATGGTTCTCCAATTCTTCGTAATTAATGTCGAGAAGAATACATATAAATTTCACTGGAAAAACTGAACTTTAAAATCATGGTCACTTACATCGAAGAAAACGGTGTTGTGATTCGCGTATCGATCGTTTCGATCGATTCCATCAAACCTCTGCGGAAACTGAACAAAGCAGACCTTCTTTCCAGCAACAGGGTCCATTAGAAAACACATAGCCTCTCTGATCGCCTTACTGTTGTTGATGTAGTGGTCACAATCCAGATTGAGAAGGTACGGCGCGTTTGTTAAAACTGCAGATACCCGCACCTAAGAAAGGGCTGTCTGTCAGACGCGACGAGAAGCCCATTGCCGTAACTAGAAAGGAAATATTCACGAAAAATACATTCGATACTGTACAAGGTATGGCAAAAACTTACCAAAGCATTCATTGCGCCAGCTTTTTTGTGATGATTAAAGCCATGCCTCTTCTCCCGAGATACGTACACCAGACGCGGGAGCTCGTTTCCATCAACGTCGTGACCACCACTGTGACCCAAAAACACCTGCGACCAAAAGCAGTGTGTTCACAGCCAGCACTTAACGTTGCACTGATTATAATGAAAACTAGGGAGATTTTGAATGCGTTGCTGGCTATGATCCGAAGAGAACACCTACAGAATGTCATAGTCATCGATGTCAATCATTGATGATGCATATAAGAGTAAAGGACACCTATGGGTTTCACCTGAATCATCCCTGGGTGATCTCGTATATTGTTCCCGGGCCAAGGAGTGCCATCTTGCATTGTCCAGCCCTCTTCCGGAACTTTCTGAGCTTTTGCCACTAAAGCATTGACACGAACTTTGAACTCTTCATACTCTCTCTGCGGTAATTCATATACATCCACGCTCACTGTGCTCAGTAGATTGACTTCAATCATTTACAAAAAAGTCTCATACTGATAGGCAGTATCATCTCCATTATGTTCACAACGTATGCACCCATACTTACCTTCATTGCTCGACGCTCCTTCACGAATGTAGGTTGAATTTTGTCCTTCAAATAATCCATTTTCTGAGCGAAATACACCTCAGGAGCACGAGGTTCAATGTTGAATTTTTTGCAGAAGGGCACCCACTTTCGAGCAAACTCAGAAGTCTCCGATAGAGCTTCAAAGGTTAACATAGCTGCACCATCATCTGATACGTAGCACGAGACCTTTTCCACGGGATAATCAACCGACAGAATTGATAAAACCGTGTTGGCTGTGACGAGAGGTGGTTCTTTGGAAGGATCCACTGTGCTAACATATACGTCGACTGGATCCAGGCGAGATGGTTCACCTTCGGGCTCATACCTGGATCGCAATAAATTTGTCAGCGACGTCACATGAAGGCATGCACGTAATTTTGCACGTAGATACAAGGAGGCCTCCTTTCGAGGTTAGCTGGGAATGGAAGTAAAAGGGCAAGCCAGATTGAGTGAGTTGGCACCTCAGCGATAATCTGTCGAGATACGTCTCACGACCGACTGGAAGCCACTTTGGAAACTGATCCAAGATCCACGATATAGCAAACCAGACCTCACATACAACCGATGTGAGCCAGAGACCATATGCACCTTCTACAGGGTTCGTTAGGCGGTATCGAAAGAAGAAACCCAGCACAATAAGGCGAACAATGATGAGCATTCTGTAAGGATTGATCAAACTTGATGCAAGTGGAACTTTCCGTGACAAAGGCTGCCTTGATTCATCCATCCTGCCAGTCATTTCATTAGAAAATATCAGTCAATGCTTTCTATAAGTAACTCAGACAGAAGCATCCCGTCACCTGTTAGATGCACTGGCTCCTTGCCAAGTGCTATTGAAAGCAGGCAGTTTCATGTTTCTGCATATGTAAGCGTTCAACGCGAGTGTAACTTACGAGGGCAAATCTGGGCCATCTCCAAAGTCTGAGTCGTCCGCTTTACCAGTAACCTGAGTCCCTTCTGTCAAGGACACCTGCATTTTTTCCTGCTTTTGTCTCCAACTATCCAATCTTTCCTTCCATGCAACGCTACCATAACCATAAGCGGCTAAATCCTTCGTTGGGTCCATAGATCTTGATGACTGAACTGCAATTTGAGAAGGGAAGATGTTTTAAGAACAAAAAGAGACTATTCTGCGACAAACTTTGAAAGAAAGTTTCATCAATTGCCCACAAACTTATATTCCGCGTCTTAGGCTACATTAACGTCAAGATTATCTTTGAATATTGCACACTATTTTATTACACTGGCTAAGACCTCCACCACGAGTGTAGGAAACACACGATTAGACTTAGTGAAATCGTGTTATTGAGCTCCCAGCCGATCATCACTGACAAATGGAGGAGAAGTTTGTGAATATAAGACATTTAACAAAGATTGATCAGCATCGTTGAACACTCGCGGAAACATGCAACTAGTAAAATTGTGAATAGGTTTTAGTTTTGCTGACTATCCATCTACACAGGATGACAACGAAAACGTTCTATGTGAACAATTTGGGAGAGCATACAGCGTTTATACTCAGAACCTGATTTTCTTACCTGTAGATGTTTCTGTTGAGTAGGGAAAAGGATGCACGCGCTTTCCTCCACCTGTCATGGAAGGGGGAGGAACTATGAGGGCTCGGCGATCTGGTGGAGGATCAATCGTATCAGCCTGCATGAACATTCGAAAGAGCAGTGTATGCTGTAAGTAACATCTTCTTTGCTTGTACGGTGATGAGATTGGGACTTCACTTGGCGAACGGCTAGTTTCCTACATTACTACATACTACGAGTAGTTTAAGTGCCAATATTGTATATCGGCTTACGAGATTGCTGCTCGCTGGTGGACTTACTGAAATTTAGAGGCAGACGGCAAACTCCCAGAAATTGTACAGTGGCCGGAAAATACAAACCTCTGGCCCATTTGTAAGCAATGGAAACTGCGTCTCCATGGGACGAAATTGGTGGCGAGGGGGCGAATCTTCGTCATTAGAGGGACCAGAGTTGATACGATCGTGAAGTTCTTCCTCAGTTTCACGGAGGTAATTTCCTCTGACTCTCCCAACAATTTGGAACTCATTTTCTAAATCATCCACGTCGTCTTCTTCTTCATCCCCGTCAACTCGTGGACTTCCTAAGGAAAAAATTGCGATTGCAGTCGGTGCCACGAGAATCGGTCAGACTTGGAGAATATAAGCAACCACGTTGCTACTAAAAGAATCGAATATATTAAATACAAGCCATCTCGAAGAGAGAAGCCGAGCGCAGTGAGAAAATTAGGGGCCACAATACTTCGTAAATGCATTCAATTAGTGAGAGAAGCCAGCCAACCTTTATGCCGATGATATATAGTTTTACATTGTGGGCAGCACTGATTGCCATCCTTGCGTTCATACTCGTAACAAGGCCTGCAAACGGGAAATCCACATTCGTTGCAGGCCACGAATAGCTCACCGTCGTACGAAGTTCCCACATCGTCACCACAAATATGACAATCTCGCCCGTTCATCTCATTCAACGGTCGTGGCTGCGACCATCGTACATGATAAAGCTGGTTAGATGAAACAATGGTAAAGTCCTAGAGTTGTAACGAACTAGCTATCTATAGATGTCCATCGATTTCAGCGGACTTCTTGATAGCTACAGCGTTTAGACTGAATCTCGCGGACTCGAAACTCTATTACCGTCAAGTCTTTCAAAGCGAGTCGCCTGCGTGGATTCGAAACATTTTTCGCCAAGCCTCCAGAGAGAACATGTCAACTCATGGCTCCTTTAGCTCATTTCGAGAAAAAGTTCGAATCCACGACGGCGAATAGCTCGCAGCAAATCTCGACCCAGTCTCAAGAACGACACTACAGGCAGGCACCCCCATGAAGAGAATATGTAGCGTAAGACCTGACAAACTAAAAAGTTTGCGAGTCACATTAGGCGTGAGGTATTGCTGTACCTCACTTTCCGGGCGTATAAGAACTAGTTCGTTCCTCTTATGCGAGCCTGCCACAAGTCCTGCATTCGCTTCCATTTACTATAGCTGCTTCAACTGGTCAGAAACTTCTGGCAACTACCAAGTCCCACCGTCTGGTTTGCGCGCATTATCATTTTCCCCCCATCACCTCCTCTGCTTCTAGACACGTGAGTATTATCGTCTCAGCACGTCAGCTCTGATGTGAGAATGGGCCCCGTCGCGAAAACCTTGAGTTGGTGGTTTTTGCATCAACATCGAATGCAGCACTGAAAAGCCGGGCAACCCAGCAATTGACTCTCGGACCTGCTACCAAGAAAATTCATTTCATCACCTCGGGGCGCCAACAAAGGAGCGAAACAACTATGGATGATATACAGCTACTTAAAAGCTGCACATGAGCTTGCAGCGCAACTCAGCCACCTTGCGCATGCACCTTACGTGACGTGACTCGACTCTGCTCCCCGACCCACCCGGTCAGAATCAGACACAATTTTGCGCCTCCCACTCGAACAATCCGCATTAGTGACAAGCCTGCGCCCCTAATCAACAGACCGTGGTAGATGAAGGGCGATCGCCGACGACAAGCTCCCCTGCGCTGCCCTCGCTCGCCCTTTCAGCGAGCCGTCTGGAGTCGTCTCCTCTCGAGCAGGAAAGAAATCGGCCTCCTGGATTCGACGAGCGATGGAGCGAGGCCCATGAAATGTGCTCCGGCACATTTACACCAGACGAGAGCTAATGTTGCGCATGCGGCCTCTCCTCCTTCATGAGCAGCGGGAGGGCGATGCTTGTAGAGGAAGTCGTCGCGCCGGGCCTGGGCCTCTGGACGTTCCTCTGCCGGTTCGCGTTGATTGGCGTTCGGACCAAAAAGCCCACGAAGTTATTGCCGACGGAGCCAGGCGTTCGGAATACCCTCGAATTCCCCAAACAGAGCCAATTGGCCAGTCCATTCGCCTATTCGCGTAAAGACGTTGGGGGGCTATGCCCGCGCTGCTGCCACGCGGCAGTCGTGTGCCAGCGTGGGCCCCGTTCATTCTCGTTCCGTTGCCCTCGGTCAAAAGCGCAGCGGCCCGGAGCAGACAAGTTCGGAAGGCGCGCACCGCTTCTCTCGCGTTCAATTTGAGGGCTTCGCTTTTGGCAGTTTTTACCGACGGGTCCCGCTCGGTTTGAATATGAAAGCCTTCGGCGTCGTCGTCGCTGTCACCCTGCCCCTGCCACATCAGCCTCGGCCCCGCCTTTTCAGGCCCTTTCTCTTTGACTCCGAGCGTATACCGTACTGGGCTGCTGGCCTCGACTACTACCCGTTGCAGCAGCCCGAAAATGGCCAGCAGATTTTGAAAGTTTAGTGCCCCTCCAGGTTGAAGGCTTGAGAAGCGGCCAACGTTGCAGAGGTGGCAGTTCCCTCGTCGGTCGTGGCTGCTCTCCTTTCAGAAGCAGTATGGGTGACGCCGGACATGCATACAGTAGTACCCCAGACCCATCGTGTTGACTCGGAATGTCTGGTACCGCAATGTGGATAGAAAAGCAACACCATGATATACCTTGGCTATGTAATCTCGGTCAACAAAATCCTCATGCCACGATGTATCAAATTTATTTTATTTTTAGAGGCCACTTTACCTCTTATTATAGCGCAGAATGGCCTGGACTATTTCCGTGTCTAATCCAAGGTTGCTATGGCGACACCCCTGGAAAGCCCTCCGGTGGTGGCTGCACTTTTGTTCACCTGGTGGTATGACGGACAATACTGGTGAGCATTTGGCGACGAATTCTGGGTTTCCATTTTAGGCATCTTCATATCCGAGCAAACGCTCACATACGAAATCGGACTGCTTATCGCAACTGTACTTGCATTGAATGTGATTTTACTTTTGGTGTGTTTGTAACTGTTGCACTGTTCATTTCCTACACTTTACCCGGCCAGTACTTTCAAAATGGCATGCAAGATGTCTTTCTTCTTTCCGGATCGATCTGGTCGACAACTTTGTCCCATTCGGTGCTTTTAATGTCGCGTTCATTTAATGTAACTAGAATTGCCTCACGGAATTCTCTCATTAAGATTGCTCAAATACCTTCTATTATGAATAAATCGGAACAGTACAATAGAGCTTCTCATCAGCTAATACCTCTAGCTCTTAGACAGATGAATCCACCTTCGAATTCTTCCATATTCCATATTAAAAGCTCATGTATGCATTCAAGAACCGCTTAGGCAGTAGCACATTACTCAAGCATTCTTTCAACATTCAAGTGCGTGAGAGTATGAAGTAAATCACTGTCATCGATCCCGAGATGAAAGTTTTTATCCAAAATCCACAAGTGCGAAATAATTGCAAATTGCTCATCCTACAGAAAAGAAATTATCTTTCGAATAGATATACTTTCCAACTTCTGATACAAAAGAAAACCATATATATATATATATATATGTATATATAATTTTTATACTAAACTCTAGGGATTTTCCTTTTCAGGAATACACATGAATCAAGGCAAGGGATTGGAATATCTCATGTATCTTTTAAATCTTTTCGAAATTATTCTTAAAACTTATTCATTGATCATTTCAAGAATAAATTTTTCATAATAGAAATTTAAATTTAAATTGATGAGTTTTGATGACTGTGTTATAAAAAAACATTTCAATGTATTTTATTCCAGGTTTCAAATTTTAAATAAGAAATATCAAGAAAGACCGTGATTTAAAGAAGTGTGAATCTCATTTCTACATAGACTCTGATAATTATTACTGAACTGGGATGAAAATATCATAAATCATGAAATTATTATTTTGGTTCAATGATATTATTTTCTTATTTCTGATAAATTCAAGAATATTTTGAGTCTAAAGTAAATATTGGAAATAATAGGAATCATAGAAATATTTTGTAAATATTTTTTTGAAAGTGTAAATTAACATATTAATAATTTAAATATGCCATAGTATTCTAAATCATCTAGAGTGACGTTTGTGCAACATTATATCTATCTGCCTTCCAGCCAGAGGATATGAGTAAATTGTTCATATATAATATATTATCGAAGGATCAATTATGTTTTCAATTATAGTCGCACATTTGGACTTACTAAGTATTGATGATATTCTATTTTAAAAGTACACACCTGAATGAAAAGTTGTCAAGATCTGATGCTAAAATTTCCGAATTTTAAACTGAATGATTTTTTTGACATAATTTTAAAATGGACCATAGTTGATTTTTTTAACTACGAATAGATATATAAATATATTTTTCATAAAAAAATAGATTCTTAACGGTTTTTAAATTGATGCGAAATTTCTTAAACAATCCTGAAAGTTTTCTGTCATATCTACTAATTTAGCGAAGAGTTTAAAAAAACAAACCTTCTAATTTATTAAGGCTCATTGTCTTGAAACTTTTCATACAAATGACTGAAGTATTCGGAGATATTACGATCATTTAAAATACTGAGTATAAAATGTTTTGCATTATGTCATATAATCTACATAATTTCCAGATTCATCGGATAGATGTGAAGATATGATAAAAAGTACTCGCCTTTTCAAGATCCAATTTTAAAGTCCAAAACTAATGATGAAGAAAAGATAAAAAATAATTCTACTCTATGAGATCAATGATATGTGAAATCAACATTTTACTGTTTTTTTTATGTGGAGCATTTGTAAATCTGAAAGAGTTTGAATGCATAACAATTCCTGTCATTTCCACAATAATGGGGTGAATAGTTTGCGAATCCCGATGAAGAACAGTATCCCAGATCTTGGAGATCAAGCGAAAGCAAGAAGCAATAGCTCTTAAGATGTGAGTATACTGAGTGCAAGTAATTGTTGCAGTTGACTGGATATCTGAAGACGAATAAGAGGATGGGATGCATGCACAACATACTACACAAAAAGAAAAGTGAAAGTTTTTTGTAATGCGCTCAAACATCTACTCATCAACGGTTAGAAGGGCGGGATGTTCCGAACTCATTTCTTTATTGAGCGTTTCGGTAAAGTTTCGCCATCCCATGAGAAATTTCGTTTCATTCTCTCGGAAGAAATCCAGGCCGTAATTTCGGTTCCTCTTGAACCGTTGGGCCTCGCACCGCTGCCGGGATTTCCTTTACTGCTACTGTTTATGACAGCGCCTATTACACATTCGGACGTTCGTGCTGTCATGACGACTTACTCGTTACCCGACCCCGGGCTGACACCATCTGACATGTTGGACGCTGTGTATCATTTTGGGGTGACGATCACACAGTCCATGTGTCCTGTCTGCGGGCTCATCATTTGTAATGTGTTCTTATGATTGTGGAGAGTTTGTAAATCGATGCGAGACTGTGGATCCAGTTCTGTGTGATATGTCTGAACAATCCTTCACCCCTTCACACCAAAACAAATAACTGTACTCATGATCTCGTAAGATACACGCTTTGTATGATGCATTCCAATAGTTTGATGCGAAACAGTCAATGTTGTACGTCCCCAATTATTACTCGATGGTACATATCGATTGATAGACATCACGTTGGCAGATTCGGCGAAATGACGGTTGGCGAACACTCGCAAAGCTTTCTGCTACTCAGGATGAGTGTGACACAGTTTCCTTCCGATGCCATCATCTTCTTAGTGATGGGTCCACAAACACATAGGGCCTCTGAAGAAGTGGCATGGAAATGAGAGAAAGACCGTCTGTTACTTCCTGAAGTTGTGGGCTCCCACATAGTGCAGTCATCACGTTTGATAGCCGGTCCAACGTTTTGGTGTATTAGATTGGCACATAACACCGACGTTTTTCTCCGATCACAGGAGTAGACAAGGGTCTGTCACTCACCATCATCACACAACTGTGTCTATAGATGTAGCTTTGGCAGAAGAGACCTTGGAAACAATTTCTCGAATTCGCCGATCAAGTGTTGAAGCTTTTTATTACGATTAGTTTTGTGTTGAGCCCTGAACATATTGATGTACTATGTACAACCTGAAACATACGACGAATCTATCAATAAATTTGCTTTTATTGTCGGCCGGCCGTATAAACTCAAGGCTTTCAATTTATTTAATGAAATGTTGATGGCCCTTGAAGCATACTGGTTGATGTCGTTTTGCAGAGGACATTGCGTAGAAAGTCGTAGCCTATTGACCATCCGTCCATGCTTATGACTTAAAATAACTGAACAGAAGGGAATTCCACGTTACCATTGACCGGCCTGGCACTGAATCTGCTCCTGCTCATAATCTTTAAACGCTGTCGCTCCAAACGGTGTACAACGGCTGATGGATTTAGATTAAATCAGTCCACTTTTGGTAAATATGTGCTGGTCACCAAGGTAGTCTGTCATAAATGGACGTCTTCAAATACAACAAAGTCTGGAACAGTCACTTACGGATTTAGATATGAGAAATTTGGAGAAAATTTGACTTTCCTGTAGAGCCATGCACGTGAAGATGGGCACCCTGCCTAGTAGGTCCTTGATTTGAATTATTAAAATGTGGGCAAATGTACATGAAACCTTTTAGATACAGTTTGGGGTCATCTGGAAATAAATTATAACCAAGGAGGGACGTGTCAAGGAACTGAGTTGATAAATGAAAAACTGGAATAAGTAACATGTGTCTTCCAAGAGCAGTGGGAGTCAAGATTGAAGATATGGTCAAGACCATGAGTGTAAGGCTCTCCTGTTGTTCTAAGTATTAGTATGGGAATGAAGAGCAATCTCAACTTTGAGATTGCTCATCATTGCTCGCCCTCTGAATACATAGGCCATTTGAGAAGCAAGTTGCCAGCAAGCTTAAGTAGCAACTGTTCTAAACAGCGAGGGTGGAAAGATGTGACTACCTGTAAAACCAATTCGTATAGTATCAAAATTCACAGCACTTGTATGGTAGAATGTGACAGATTGGTTAACACCAACATGATAAAACTAAAAATGCAGCAGTGTCAAAGATGGATAACCTGACGAGCCTGACAAACTGATAACAAGCAAGTTGTGTCAAACAAAGTATTTGAACCACTTTAGCCAATGCAGCACCCAACTTGTGAAATGAGAACTTACCGGAAATGGATAATTCCATACAGCTTTCTGAAACAGGTGTTCCTTAAGCCTGACAGCATCGACTTAGATGTGACTGGCTTTCTCAACCTTGGCCTGTAACTTATCACTTCGCGCACATTCTTCCTGCCAGTCCAGTACCATTTCCAGTTTTCAGAAACATAAATCTAAAGAATAGTACTTCAATGCACCCAGCCAGTAGATGAAATACCTCGTCCAAACAATCTGCTATTACTCTCTTCGACATTTGCAGAACAACTTTGGTTAAGGAAGGGACCTTACATGCAAGCTGCTCAAATAAGTTACTTCAACAGTAATAATAAAACTGGAAAATTGGTGATACTGACTTCAAGATACTTCTACCTATCCTCTAGCTTTTGAAGAAAAATCTTTAACAACCAGACAAAGTATCCACCCCGAAAACCACAAACGTCACGTGAAATCAAGATGAACGCCTACTTGAAATAGTTTGACCAGGGCGTAGTATTGTCTTTGTGCAGTCACTGCAGCAGTGTGCTTTTCCTTCAAAGCATTGAAAGTGCTCTGCTCTGATTCAAATCGTCTCTCTATTTGGTCTAGTTTCTGCGAATACGAAGTCCACATTTGGAAAGATGAGTATGATTCTCACAGAGAGCCGGAACTAAAGGTGAGCAGAAGCCCATGCAAGGCGTGTAAGGTGTCAAGATGTTGGAATCTAGGTTCATTTGCTCAATATAATCATGCTCCAGTACATGGTGAGTAGCCTTACCTGCTGCACCCCGTTAGCAATGCCTTCCATTGATGACACGAATTTAGCCCGCCCACCAGGAGTCATCATTGCTACTTCAAACTGAAGCACAATCGTCAATAACAATAAGTCTTCCTCAAAACCCATCGAAGACAATCACATTTCTTCCAGCTGTTTTGCTCACCTATAACATCATATCTCATTGCTACAAGAACGAACTGAATGAGCAGGAAACGTGTACATGTTATCGCTTCTAGAGCTCATGAATCTCTTCTCCTAAATACATGTACTAACTTATGCTTTTCACAGTTCTGCATCCATACTTCTTCGGCGTCTTGAATCTTCAGCGTACAGCTTGTAATACATGGTTGTAGACCATTGTCTACAAGCGTTCGACAAGATACATTGTCAAGTCCAATCACTCTAGGTAGAGTTGCATGCATCATGAGAGGAATGATCACCTGACTATGGATGGAGTTAAGAAGTGATAACTCCTTGACAGTCAACTCGTTTGCCTCCGCAAGAGCATTGTACGTCGCAAAATATTTCCTAGTTTCCCTTAGTTTTCTCTGGAATTGTCAAAACAAGCACAGATACATCAAAACATTTTGCCTAAATGCATAGGGGCAAACGGTACAAAAGGAAAACGATAGAAGTTTCCACATTAGCTACCTGGATATGCAGGTAGAGCTCCACAAACCGGCGCTCGTATCTGGAACCGAAGGTAAACAAGTCAAGGGTTATGAAGTAGAATCCTTGAATTCACAGAATCTATCTATTTACTCAATCTAATTGTAATTGTAATCCCAAGCTACTTCTGAATTGAGTAATAACTCTAAATCTCTAAACTAGATTCTAATTTCTTACTGGATATAGAAAGAGAGATAGAGCAGATAAAGCAATGTTGCTTGAAACACGTACTGCATGAGTTCAGTTTGTGAAGGTATTTCCCCGAGCCGTCTTTGAAGCAATGTAATTGCACGATTCTTCTTCGAAAGCTCCTGGTGAGAAGGAAATTCACAATGGACTTGGAAATACAGTTGCCATTTTTGGATTTATTCATAAGCAACTGAAATGATTCTCAACGTCAGAGTTTCAACATCTTCAACACTAAATATAAAGAACTTCTCAAGAGCCATCAAAACGAACAGCACTGAAGGCAAGTTTGAACTTATTACACTTCGCAAAAGTTTCCACTTTTGAAGATCAGCATTGTATGCATTGTTGATTTCAGCTCCACGCTCGTCATCTTCGGCAGGAAGCACACTCGGGTCGTGGAGTTGCTTGATATGTAGCTGCATTTCTGATCGTTTCCGGCGACACTCTGAACGAAAATCAGACTCTTTCTTTTCAAGAATCTGTTCTTGAAGGGATTACAAAGACACATACTTCAAAGAGCGCGTTAGCACACGAACAACAGCGTGAAGTGAGACTAATATCTTAGCTGTAATCATTTCAGCCATCAGCATTCTGTCTAGGTCAATTTTAGTCCTTGGCGATATGGTACAAAACTATTCACATTACATATGAAATCTCGAACATTAGGTTCTCACACTCTATACGAAATGTATTCGCAGGTTTTACAATAATGACTTAAGTTATAGTCTAGAAGAAAAGGACGGCGATTCTTTCCTCTTTACCTGAGAACGCTCCAACAGTCCCATAAGTTTCTGTACCACTGATTCTGCGCCTGCTACTTCAGCAGCAAACTGCAACTCTTGTATAGCTGATTGTGCACTTGCAATACGATGGTTCTGGAAGTGTATATTCAGATAAACTTTATCAAGAAGGAACATCAACACAAAGCTGTGAAGCCCAAACACACTAATTCGAAATTAAGGGCGAGCACCTTGAAGTTACCTGGTGGATGATGGTCTCGTCCATCTCCTTTAGAGATTGCAAAGTAGCACTAGCTTTCGTCTGCAGCTGGTTAATGCGCATGTCTTGACCTCCAATTTTTTTCTCCAAGTTAAGCACCTAGACAACAGAGATGAATGTATGAAGAGTGCGCAAAATCAGCTTTCTATTAAAAGATTGATAGCAGAGAATACTAGTTTCTTTCACCAGACCAAAAAACGACAAACCCGATTGGCACCGCTTCCTACGATATATGCAAGGTAACTTTACCTCTATAGTGTGATCGACGTTTGTCTTCTTGTCTCTGCCAACAAGATAACAATAGTTGTAAGATTGGATCCCAAACTCCCACAACTTATACTCCTTAAACGATAAGAACGTGAAATTTTTCAAAAAACTAAAGAGTAAACTACCAGCTACAGGTTTTGGAAGTACAGTGTGTGGTTTGCATAAACGTAATGACTCTCACCCTTTTGAGGCTTGGACGACGTCAGATCGAGCAATTGCTGAGAAATGGTCACCCTGGTTAACAAAAGAAATCAAAACAAGCACAGAAAATGAGAGATATTAGTAGGAAATAGACTTGAGTTATTTGAAACAATCTTAGGATCTTGGTAGACCTCAGGATCTATCCAAAATCTCAAGCACACGACATCTCATACATCTAATTATACCAAAGTCCACTGTCTGTAATGTACGACAAAAACAATTAAGGCTTGAGCTCACACGCATATACAATCGGTAGTATTGTACTTCAAACACATTCAATCAGACATGTTATCATATCCCAAAGATCAGAGGCATGAGATGACTACACTGCGGGATGAAGTTAGTTGATCGAGCTCCGCTTTAGATGTCGGTATATCCTGAAGGGAAGATTGTGCATTCACTCTACAGAAATATCCGCACAAAAGATATTCAGAACTTGGGTTTATTGATGAGCTTAACATCAAACGGAATCATGTGAATTGATAAAACACAGATTCTCTTCAAAAATGCCCAGTATATACGCTAAGACAGAAGATGTAACCAACCGCCGAGTATACCTAACAAGAGTGCACTAAATTATAGAGCTTCGAATCTTATAGTTTAGATTCGCCATACCTTGCAAGTTGATATAGCTGCCGCACAGACTGCTGGCTGGATGCTTGTACAACAGCTTCGATCTTCTCCTGCATTCGGACAAAAGAAATTATTCATTGTACTGACCAGAGGTGAGACCTTTTGCAGTAACCCAAGAAGAAGTTGTGCTCACAAAATTGTCATATAGTCGACAAACAATTCTGAAAACAAGACTCATTAGTGGACAGCAAATAAACTGTAAACATTCCAATTCCTTTACAGTGGAGGCCTGCACACTTCTTATAAGCAGGACTACTTCGGGGATCACCAGACGAGCTTGTTGGAGAGATCTTTCATCTGGTAGCTTGTAATTTTCCTGGTATCGCAAGTGTGCGTATCTTCGTGCCTGTGAAAATTCAAAGAAGTCAACTGTAGCGCAGAGATATCAACAACATCCACAAGGTGTTACTTGATCCGTTACTTCTGTAGCCTTGATGGAAGACGAAGATAATTCTTCATTGTCTGTAATTTGAATTTGATCTACACACAAATTCAGATGAAAATGACCAGCTATACCTGATCACCAAACTCTTCGAGTGTAGCGAGCACTCGCTTCACAAGCCATTTGACGACAGGGAGAACAGCTTGATAATCAAGGCCCTGGATTTGGTGTGCTTGAAGGGGATGGGGACAGCCCATTCTTTGAAGTGCTTCCTCAATGGCTTCTCCAACTTTGCTGTCAATTTAGCTTCCAACAAGTTAATACGGAAAATCGCTACAAGCAGAGCAGACAACTCACGGTCCTCTGCATGGCATTCTTCTTCAGACTAACAAACCCGGAAACTCGGACAAAAATTTGTAAAACTGAGGAACTCCTAGTAGTCATAAGTTAGTGTAATATACAACGGTTCCATTACCAAATCAATGGCGAAGAAGTCACCACGACAATGAACAACCTTCAGCCTGTCTTGGAAGACAAAGTTAGCCCGTAACAACGACCCAGGCTGAACATAGATAAGGTGAAATGTAGATTACTCACGAGTAATCTGAATTTGAATTCCATGATTATTGAAAGATGAAGTGAAAGTTTAGGCATGCCCTTGAGAGTTCATTTCTCTTTCTCATCAAATGAGGTAACAATTAGATTAAAACAATGACGTATAGAGTGTCAAAAGTTGTGTTCATAATACTACCAAAGATCGAGAACTCAATCAACGTCCATCGAGGCGTGGAATGTCTGAGTTGGCTGTAAACCTAAACCGTGCTATACTATGAGGCCGAGATAGCTCCTAATGCGGTCACTCATCATCACTCCTGCAACACAACTTGCGAGTAGACCTCTCAAACTACACAATCTTTAAATCTAAGTAATTTTAGAAAGCATATTAGCTACCACTCAATTTCGACGATTAAGAAATAAAACCCGTTTCCTTATTCTTATTTAGCGCATGAAACCGACTTGAATTTTTTATGGCCATTTAAAGTTACCAGCCTTGATCACTGAGCTTTTCCTCAACTCACACTCCACACAGCTTGTGTGATGGATGACACAGGGTGTCTACAGCATTACAATACTTTTGGACTTTACTTGGAACGTGACAACACAAGGATACATGATTAAGCTGAATTTTTCAGCTTTACTCTCTATTACACTCGAAAGTGGAGCCAAAACTTACATCTTGTAATAAAGTGTGGCATCATCGTCATAAAATATGTCAAAATCCACGTCCACTTTGCTGAACGTTATGCACCATGCCAATCCACCTGTAAGCTTGTCAAACACAGACAGTGCGGATATGCGAGCACGAAAATAGCCTCCTGCCAAGAGTAAATCCAGAATCTTCTGGAGCAATTGTGTCCTCTCTCCATCGTCCTCCATTTCTTGTATCAACCTTTGAAATGTCTATGCCCTCAAGATCCGAACTTTGACCGACTTTCTTCAGGGCCCGACTCCTGAATTAATCTCGACCTACCAGTTGATAACATTTGAGCCGGATGCCCTCTCCAACGTTCTGACACCGGCATCCCAGCAGTCACATGGACAAACAGATTCTAAATTAACCAAATTGCCGATCAGCTTCAAAACTCCCCCACCTATCCACGGATCCTTCCCTCCATAAGAAACACAAATCATATCCAAACCCCTTAATTAATTCCGGGTGTCATCTGTGTGAGCGCTTCCCAGTGCGAATCATCATGTTGATAAAATCAGCATACCTCGCAGACGCTTACAGTTGAAAAATCCGATTCAGCATTCAGGAATCCGAACCATGTGGCATGGATCTTTCGCATGTACGTGAACACAGGTTACTGCACGATGGATCCACCTTTCGAAATTACAAAAATCTGAAAGAGGATCCTTGCGATTTCCGCACATACAAGCTTCTGTAATTCCCGTCGTGGCTACGCCTGTCCGGAAGATTTGTGGCAACTCTGTTGACTGTATTCTGCAGCCGGAAACGTTTACGTGTCGGTCACGGTAGAATGCCGGAAACTGAGACCCAAAATCTGAATAGCGGCCATATGGTTCCGGTTGAGAAAGCGGACAAATTCATGTTGGCGGGCGAGGTTCAGATCAGGGGCTTGGGCACAGTGTTTGCAAATTTGTCGTGGTGGTCCTTCAGGAGTCACGTTCTGCAGCGAAGATTTTTCATGCTCATCCATGATAATTGGAGTTCCACGCGTGCATGTGATCTTTCGCAGGTAAATGAGGTCACTAACCTAGGGTTAGGGTTTTAGTGACGGAACGCATGGGCATTCTGTGATAGCGGATTCAGCATTCTCAGTTTTCCTGGTCCGGACAGATGGTTACTGCTCTTTGAATGGTGGTGCAGGTTTCATATCAAGACCTCGAGGATTCGGAGAGAATTTCGTCCGGAGGTTCTAGGCCACTGATACGGTTTTTGCTGTGAGCTATGGAGGTGTTGTCGAAAGCAGTGGTGCAGCCTGCCCCTGTGTCTTCGAATTTCTCGAAGTCTGGAATTGCCGGCGGCAAGCAGCATCTTGGATGTAGACTGGCATGGCCAAAATCTGTGTGCACGTCCCGAAACGTCTTCCCCAACGCCTGTGAGACCTCGTTGGTGTCTGCTAAGTCGGCTTTGTCCCAAGCGCAGCAGGAGACAGCTACAGGTGTGTACGGGCATTGAACGACTGAAAGTAATGGAATTCTGCTATTTGCTTCATGCCGAATTCGCTCTTTCACCAAAATCCAGAAGTATCTTCCAATTTTGAAGAAAATGCTGGCGAATATATGAGGGCTTGAATATACCATAATCCCTTTTAGATAGAATACCATCAGTTGCAGTATCGGCAAGCTTCGGGGATAAATATGTGGAGCACCGAGTAAATTTGTAAATAGCATGGGATGATCCCAATAAAGAAAAACACAGTGGCAGACCTTAATTTCGCTTGCTGCAGGACGTCGAATGTTCACAATTGGTCTGAATTCGACCAGGAAGCATCCCTATTTGTACTATCTAGTTACTCCGACTTTGATCCCTGTCGAGTTTTAGGAGAAATGAAAAATGAGTCTGATTACTCACCACCTGATCAGTGTTACAGGATTGCCTGAATGGAATTTTTTAGCCTAGTGCCTTCCTGTTCCTCATGGTGTCTGAGAACTTCCTCAGCTACACCGTCTTAGTCTCACCGCGAAGAACATGATCGAACTTGGCAGGCTCTTTTTGAACCCTTTATGTGGAACTTGACTGAATTGTGTCACTTGGACGAGCTCTTCCTCATTCGTGACTTCTGAATGATTAGCGTCTAATTTCAAGTTTGCTTGGCTCGTTTCCAGCTGTACACTTTGCTGACCCATCCCTGGAAGATTTTGACCCTGAAATTCACTCCATAATCGAACATGAGAAACGGCGGCAGTTTCGGGGACTTGAGCTCATTGCCTCGGAGAATTTCACTTCTCGGGCAGTAATGGAAGCAGTCGGATCCTGTCTTACCAATAAATACTCGGAGGGTCTACCTGGAAAGAGGTGAGCATAGGTTTCTCTACGTGGCCTCATCAGTTCCTGTTTCAATTGTTTTTAGCTTTCATAGTACAGTATGTTTTCTGGTCTCTAATTTCGAATTTACAGGTACTACGGCGGTAATGAATTCATCGACCAAAGTGAAATACTCTGTCAAAAGAGGGCTTTAGCGGCATTTAATTTGGATGCTTCGACCTGGGGTGTCAATGTTCAACCTCTGTCTGGATCACCAGCAAATTTTGCTGTGTACACCGCTCTTCTTCAGCCACACGACCGAATTATGGTAAGGTCCTGTTGATGTGACGCTTTGCATCCACGGTCTGAATGAGTCGTATGTTGTCCATGACCTGTGGGTGCAATTGCTGGTGAGGCAAGATTGTTTACATTCTAGGATTTTCAGTGAGAAAATGACTGGAGCTTGTCTAACCTCCGCAGGGTCTAGACCTTCCACACGGAGGGCATTTGTCTCACGGATTCATGACGCCGAAAAGACGTGTTTCTGCCACTTCTGTTTACTTCGAATCCATGCCTTATCGCCTCGACGAATCTACAGGTGCTGGACTGACTTTTATTCTTCACCTACTTCTGACCTCTGGTATCATGCGGGTTAAGATCGTCTTTATCTAAGTCTCTCACACAGGTGACGCAAGCATCTGCCTGCCTTAGATTGTCGAAGCCACCCAATTCCTCGAATTTCGTGTAGTGGATGTGGACTACTTTCAAGAATATGTCATAACTTTTGTAAATAACCAGGTCTGGTTGACTATGACAAACTCGAGGAAACTGCCGCATTATTTCGACCCAAGCTACTCATAGCCGGTGCGAGTGCTTACCCGCGAGACTTTGATTACCCGAGGATGCGGAAGGTGAACGACTTTCCATCTCTTGCTACTTTCAAGCAACAAGGTTCCCAATCTGAAAATTTTGTGAATCCGAGAATGGTTTAAATTTCAATTGCCACTCGATTTTGGCCCGGAAGGAATAAAGTTGTCCATGTTCTAGAGGTATGAATGAAATTCTCCCTCTTTCGCTTCTGTTCACATTCTCATATGATTCGCGTCTGTCGTTCCTTGACTGCAGATTGCCGACAGTGTTGGTGCTTTCCTGATGATGGATATGGCACACATCAGTGGTTTAGTGGCCGCTGGGGTGATTGGAAACCCTTTCGACTTTTGTGATATCGTCACCACCACAACTCACAAGGTTTCAACAATTTACCCTACCGTCTTCAGTCTAACACTTAAGTTGTTGGCCAGATTTAGGGAACGGGATTACTACAAGTAGGTTGCTTCCTTGTATGTATCGTAAGTTGATTCCATGTCCGGATGTCCGGAGGGTGGTGGAATTTAGAAAGGATATTGTTGGGTAGGCTTATTTTGACAAGTATCTTTGTCAGTAAGGTTTGGTTACTTCATCGACAGTCCTAGCAATTTACGTCGCAAAAATTTCACGTTATCTGAATGATGTTATTTGTGTGCAGTCCTTGAGAGGCCCACGCGGAGGAATGATATTCTACAAGAAAGCAGCAGTCTTGGGTGTAGACTTAGAGACTTCTATCAACAACGCTGTATTTCCTGGATTACAGGTGTCTCCTTCTTTCCACGATTGATCTCACGTCCGAATTTGTTATCGTTTTGAGAACCTTTAGTTCTAAGTACTATCTGTTGGTATTTAAAGAGAGGGCAATTGTTGCTCCTTGGTGCTACAATCTATCATATCTGTGGCTTCATATAAGTAGAACCTCGCAGTTACATATATCAGTGTATTCGAGGACTCTGATGATGATGATTTCTGTTGCTCTGTTCCAGCGATAGCGTCTTCTACTTGTAGCGAACTGTAGTATAGTAAAAGTCAAAGCCCAGATGTCCAGCGCATTCGACGTTTTCCTTCTACTGTGAGTATGTACAATTGACATGATGTCCAACTGTGCATTCGGACTTTCAATTTCAGGGGGGTCCTCACAACCACACGATCGGAGGGTTAGCTGTATGTTTGAAGCAAGTAGCATCGCCAGAGTTCAAGGCGTATCAGCAGCAGGTAGTAAACGATTCACTTTGAAACGGAGAGTTGAGACAAACTACTCTAGCTTGGTTGATGTTTAACTGGAAGTTTTGACTTATTTTTCAGCACTTTTATGCAAGAATGTATGGAAAGACTTCCACTAATGTATTTTACCGGACGTGCTATTCTTGCAGATTATCAACAACTGTCAAGCACTTGCTGGAAGACTGAAAGAGTTGGGTTACACCTTGGTCTCCGGTGGAACTGACAATCACCTTGTTCTTGTCGACTTGCGTCCCCTGGTCTGTAATTTCTTTCTGTTTGCCTGGTTTGCTGTTTTTCTTAACTTCAGCAGGAATTTTTCCGGTCATAAGGAACCAGGAATACGTTACTCTTAGTGAAGCTGACGTATCTTGGCGGGCCATTGGTGCCGTCGTGAAGGAATGTGCTCGCGGGTGTTTGGTCTGTTCTGTGAAACTTGGAGGATGAAGCTTTCTTTGGGAAAACAAGGCCACGGCATATCTTATATGTCTTTTAATCGTTGTGTCAGGGAATTGATGGAGCACGAGCTGAGAGAGTTCTCGATCTAGCGTCTATCACTCTAAACAAAAATTCTGTACCTGGTAATGTTTCACAGACGACTGCTTTCAACTAACACCTTAATACTCTTTTCACATGCTTATCAACATGCAAGGAAGACCAGAAGCAGTATCGTTCAAGTCTACTTTCGTATGTTGTGGATTCAGATTTCTCAAAGCGCCTCATGTCACTTGCTGGCTGCAGGGGATAAAAGTGCCGTTGTTCCAGGGGGTGTACGTATCGGTTCTCCTGCTTTAACAACTCGTGGTTTTATGGAGGAGGATTTCGTCAAAGTTGCCGATTTTATCCATGAAGCCGTTGGGCTTGCAAAGAAAGCAAAGGGTCAAGTGGAAGGCACAAAATTGAAGGACTATCTAGAGTACGTTCAGTCTCCTGGGTGTGGCATTAAGAAGGACATAGAAGACCTCCGAGAGCGAGTTGAGAAGTTTGCTACACAATTTCCTATTCCTGGAGTCGACACAGACGTTCTGTATAGGTAGACAGTGAGAAATCAATTTTGTTCAAACTGCAGCCTTTGGATAAAGAGGCCAGGGAGACTGTAATCATAGAGCAATGGCCACTCAAAGATTGGGGAGAAGTGTGTCCCCGACCTTGACGGCCAATGTCAATAACGGGGTTGGGTTAGAAGATAGCAAGGAGACAGTTTTGAGATATCCTCACAGCATAGGGTTATCTCTGAATTCCTGTGTTAGTTAGAGCATAGGACTCGAAGCTCAAGCCACTGCAGGGTCCATCATGTAAACTTAGCACTGGACAAAACACGTTACGTCATTATTGTAAGTTGGAATGCAAGCATTGGTCTGGGTTGTGAAATGACATGTTTACAATTCTACCCGCCACACACAGGGTATGTGAAATAAATCTGGCATGGCATGTTCCGAACATCTTACATCTTGACCGTTCTATATTTAAACTGACTGACAGCAGCTGCAGGCACCTATCAACCTTCAAGCAAACGTTCTTGGGTCTTGAATCCGTTTCTGAAGTCCTACACCTCCTTGTTTCAATACAATACCCGGTGCAAGACGAAGAAGATTTGGTCTTATTTTTTTATCGTTTCACAGCAAACTTTGAAGGCTTCCGGTATGTCTTGTAATGATGATTTTCCTGCAACGTCCTGTGTACCGCGGACACGAGTGGTTCCCTTCATTCTTACAGGATTAGATTACAGAGCTTAGCAACTATCTAGGTGAAGTTTCTTCACTTTCAACACCATGTCAGCCCCTCTAAAGGCCATGTGTCTTCGACGATGTTTTCTTGTCAGGTTGAGGCCTTTCGCTAGATGCGGATGAGCCCCAAGTCCTCCGGGAGACTTTTGGCAATATCCACTTTGACTGAGATCGTCGGTGACGTCATTTCGATCCACTGTCCGTCAGATCTAAGATGCCAAGCTCGTTAATCCTTTTCGAAGCTACAACGATATTCCCACCTCGGTAGTAGACTCTAATTGCAACACATGCCACATGAAACTTGAGGTTTTGCGCAAGTTTCGAAACGAAAGTATATGCCTCGATACTTTCCTTTTTTCCATGGCAAGCGAGGAATGAAGGGATACTACAGATGATTCCACTCAGACCAACTTTTGTTCCTTATGTCAGCATTTGTCATATTCACTGTATCAACTTGTGCGAGTTATGAGATGAGAAATATTTTTTTGTTCGGTAGAAAATCAAAGGATTCACTGTTGATGGACAAGGCTTTTTTGGGCATCTTCGTAAGATATTGCCTCAACTGCAGCTTCAGCTGAAGAAGTTCACAAACGGTTATCTTCAGGAAGCAGTCATTGATAGGGAATTTGTAGAACTCGCAAGATGACAGACTTGGAGAAGAAGTTGGGCAGAGAAGGATTTACGTGGGGATGTATAAAGTTGGTCATATCGTTAGTATACTGTTTGTTGTAGCTGTTGCAAGCGGAGTGACCCAAGGGATAGACCGACTTGCTTCAACATTACTGTGTTGCTGGTTATAATCTAAATCTACTTGTGATTTTTTCTTATTTCTCACAGTAGCTCCATGCCTTCCACATAGTCAAGGTTTGCAGTTGAAAGTATTGCAGTTATCTCAGCCCGAATTTTCGTGAGAATTGTCGCAAAAGTTACGCCCTTCCTCGTCACTTACTCGTTGACTAGTTCTCTTAGGTAGAAACGTCAAAATAATAAACTTGATAAACTTCCTCCATAATAGTTGGCAGCTATTCATAAGTTTATTAAATATGAGAAATGGTGATTCGGTACAAAGCTAAACCGCAAGAGCAAAAACCGGAGTGATGAGAATGGCGCTACAAGATTTAAAAAACATTTTAAAAAATGGTAAAAGCTTGAGAAAGTATGTCATGGTCTCATTGAGGCCGAAAGACAACATAACTGGCGGCCAACGTACGCCGAGAGTGGGCCGAATCTGCTGTATGATGTGGATAGATACTACAGTGAACTATGAGGCAAGTACGGCTTGATGGGTCTTCCTATACTTTTGGTTATATTAATTGGGACCCTATGAGGTTGTTTTGTAGGTTTTTGAGACATGAAACTTTTCATAGAACAAAGAATGAAAAGAAACAAAAGAATATTAATGATGCTATTTTGTTTGTCTCCACCCTCTTTCCACTGAATCCTAACTTTAAAATTTTTAATCAGATTTTGTAGAAAATGAATTTATCTGTACGGCTCATATCTTCAGAGTGCTATTATTTTATCTTGTGCCAGTAAACATAATGACTTTCACTTTTTACAAACAAGAAGAAACTACTGCTTTAGTTTTGAGATAAATTATCTTCACATCTCAACGTTGTGAAAACTTCAAGAAAGGTATGATTATGATCAAAAACTGATTAGAAGATGTATAACTCAAATTTTTGATAGATTGAGAATATTAGGCACTATAATTTATTTTTATTTCATTCTAGAATTGAAATTCCCAATTTTAAAATTTCTACAATAATAGCTTGATGATCGCTTCATTGCAGACATATATAATCTGTCAGAAAATTTGAATCTAAATTAAACATTCATCTATGAACTTGGTTTGAGTTATAAAAATTAAAGACATCTATTTGATTTGAAACAAACTGGGAAAAAAATTTATGCCTATCAAACATTCTCTTATCTTTTAAAAGTAAAATGAAATGAATTTAATTAAAATTTATTTTAGAAGGAAGGAGAATTGAATAGAAATACTGGAAAAAAATTGAAAAGGTGAGCTCATAGAAAGATGCATCTCTCCATGAGCTCCAAATAAAGAGGAGTATTGGAACATTCATTCTTATTTGAAGTTAATTAAGAGGTGTATTTGATTGATGTGAAGTCAGTCTTGTAGATGCTTAGTCATCAATTTTGACATAAAATTTGAAAATAGATGTGAGTAAATTCATAAATATTAGGAAAAAAACCAATAAAACGCAAGAACTATCAGATGATATTGCAAGAAATTTTAAAGGAATTTGCTTTCAGGTATAGATATAACAAGAATAAAGAGAAGCAGTTTACTCGTTGAAAATAAACATTGTTAGAGGATAAAGGATCCATGCTTCTCAATTATTAATTCTAGCCTATTCAAGTATCTAAATTTGTGATAACCAAACTACATCATAATTATCATTTGGTTGGATTTGATAGTTCATTTGTGTGGCTCGTACATACTAATCATACACAAAAATATACCAAATCTAGTGCATAATTTTGAGCTTTCACTCTCCTATGTAGAGCTTGATATTTTTTTATGTATGATAAGTAGATTCGCGGATTAAACCAAAACTTTGCAAGCTTGACAATAGTTACAAATTTCACCCTATCAAGCGGTATGTAAAAACTCTTCTATTTTTCCTTTAAATCGCAAAGGAAGTCGTTATTATAAACGTGAACACAATTCCTTTATGATAATTAATTTATTATAATATAGATCTTTTAAGGATGATAATATAATACTGAATAATTATCGTAAATTTATGGAATGCAATCTTTGCATATGGAAAAGGTAAACAGAATATTTTTTTCGTTATCATTTTCTGATTAGTATACACTTATCATAAAAAAATATACATAAACATGATCAGTAGATGAAATGTAAATGTTAAAGTTTTGAGGAACGAGCACTTTCTGCATTTATATCAATGAACAGTTTTGATTTCAATGCTTTATTGAGACCTCGAAAATGAAGGTATTATTGTATATAATAGACATACACAATAGAATGCATGCAGTTTAGAGCAATACGAGAAATATTGTGTGTAAGCACCTAATAAAAATGCACGTAACATATGAATATATTTCTTGAAAATCCCGATATGTCACATAGAATATCACTAGCTTTCTCATACAGTAGTCTAATTAACCAGACAATTTACTATAGTATCAGGACTTGAAATAACTCTTGATAAAATCCAATGTGGTATTCATGTTTACTAAAATATAATAACCGTTGTGATATGAATAAATAATAGAGTTGAACTCAACCAAGATCCGAGGAGTCATAGCTCCATTACTAAAAATGGAAAGTGCTAACATGGTTTTAAGTATAATCTTAATGAACAAATCCATCATGAATCTGTTGTCATAGCTTGGTCATTCCTTTCATATAATCCAGCTTCGCAAGTAAAATATGTACGATATGTACGATATAGGTCTCACATCCTTCCCTACCTTTGGCTTCTTCCAAGACGGGAAGGCATCTTCCCATCATTTTGGCTATATGAATGGGGCTCCTTGCAATAACGTATGGCTATAAAATCACCGCAATCACAACTTAAAGGGACCTGCATGCTCCAAATTTAACTCTTCTGCGTATCGATTCCACTTCATCATGGACTAAAATACAGCATGCGGCAGGCACTTCCACAAAATTTGTCAATCAAACGATGAATTTGAACAGTCGAAGGGGTCGCCCCTCAGTCAACTCGCCCGCACGTCGGGTCTTCTTGAGGGCGGCTGCAATGGCCGTTGCAGGCACCAGGAATTCCTGAACTCGTGAGGAAATCTCAACAGACGCAACAGAAATACAGAAAAAACATGAATGAAATGGGAGTATAAGAGCTAAGATGGGCCCGAGAACACGACAATTAAGAAATATATGATATTCCGAGCCATGGACATGAACACATTAACACACGAAGAATAAGCATTAGCTATCGTGATGGACAGGTAATGATCGAGATATCTTGCGCTTCACATGTCACCCTACGGCCTTCACGCCGAGCCGAGCCGAGCCGAGCAGAGCTCGGTGAACAAGAGATTCGCCGCCACATCACCCCCTGCCGCGGCGCCGATGTACACGTGTACTGCGCACAGGAGGAGAAGGCAGGCTTTACGTTCAGCGACGAGCTGTACTGTATTATACATCGCTGTTGCACTCGTAGGGATGGACGGATGGGTGGGTGGAAGGAAGGAAGGAAGGAAGGAATGAAGGATGGATGGATGTCCAGCTGGCCGCGTGCGGTAAAGCCAAGTTAACGGTAATTTCGAATGGGATGTATGGGCGAGGGCGTAGAGAGAGCAGGGAGACGAAGCAAGCGGAGGATCGAGCAGACATCCGGCCGAGTCAAGAGCGCGTGAAGGAGCGGGCACGTCAGGGCGGAGCGAGAGGAGGGACTGTGGGAGAACCGAGTCAGGGAGGGGAGGGAGTGTGAGAGTCAAGCGCTTGCTGGGTCCGGGGGGAGGCGCGGGGCGCGGGGGCGGGGGCGGAGACCGTATGTGTATGTAGGTAGAGCAGCGAGGGCGAGGAGCCGAAGAATGGGGGAGCAATGCTCGAGCGATTGCGATGGTGGAGGGACTGGAGTAGGTGCCAGAGCAATTGGAGTTTGATTTGCGTGGTGGTGACAGCGGTGGGACGAGGTGAAGGCGACGCAGGAGACGGTCGTTGTTGTTGTTGGGCGAAGGTGGACCGTCTTCGTCGAGTGTGATGTGAAGGCCGCAACGACGGCAGACCCCGAGGCCGGAGAGGTGACGAGGGGGGAGGGGCGGTGGCGACGATGTGACAGGAGGCGCGATGTGAATGCGGGCGGCGTTGGGAAGCAGCTAATGCGGAACCCGCGAGGGGCCATGCGGGGCTGCTTCCTGCGTGCTCTGGTTCCGCTCTTGCTTTTCTTCCTCCTGCTGCCGTATTTTTTCCAGTCATTATCGTATTCGCGAGTCCCCCCTCGTTCCTTCACCTTGGAGCCCGCAGCTGAGCCCGTGTGTTCGCAGCAGTCCTCCTCGACTTTGTTGTTGGACAACAGCTCGTTCTGCACCGGTGCATGTAAAGAAGATTGCTTTCCGCGAGTTCGCGATATATGCTTCTCTGCCAACAAGGTACTAGCCCGTCACAATGCCGAAAGTTGCTGCAACTTCCTGCCATGAAGTGTCGCCATTCCGAGGTTGAGCGTGTTCGATCTCCCAACTTTTTGGTGCTTGCCGATTGTTTGGGCCAGAAGCGCCGATTGGCGACTTCGTGAGCTCGTCGGGTGATCGCTCCATTGCCTCCGTATTATCCTTCTGAAGGATATCTCTCTGTAAATTCCAACTAGACATAGATTTTGGTCGCGGATTGTAATGTCTGCCTTCGTGTTTGTATCTTCAAATGTGGATGCGAGCTTCGCTGTCGGGCTCTCCAAGATGAACCCCCAACTTGCCGCCACGTTGGGCAGTGAGTCGGTCCTAGTTTGGAACCGCACATCTAATTTCTGCGGGAATCTTAACTGCAATGGTTATGTTGTATCCTGTTCGTCATCTGCAAATGTCGGGAGTTTCATGATCGCCCTTACTCTTAACCTATTTGTGGGCAGGGAGCTAGCAAATGGTCGGCATGATCGAGCTCGTACTTACATTGTGTTTATGCTTCTCAGGTGAGGCTTTGTAATAGGGAGACGAGGAGCCTTCGAACCAACAAACTAGGGAAGAGGCATTCACCTCCTGGCGAGTCACCTGTGCCCCACTTTATGCGATTTCAAGGGGAGAGACTCACCGTCGGAGTGGAGTATTCGGAATGTGACGAGGATTGGTCTTGGACCGATGGCCTTACGGCAGTAGCAGATCAGCGCTTTTTACCCTACAACAAACCTAACCCACATCACGAGGCTGAGAAAATTATACCAGCCGTTCTTCTGGCCAGACAATTTCATACGAAACTGCACTGGTTTTCTAATCAAGCGGAGGTTTCCAAATGGGCCACGGGTTTCTTGGAAGCGGTGAATATGACGAAGGATGTTGTCTATTTGAATCTTCCAGCAAAGCGAGATGTTCCCATCTGTTTTCACGATGCGGTTCTTTTGTCTTCTCCAACGAATCTGCGGTATGTGCCCGACGAGAGCACAAATGAGTGGTTGAGAAATCAGGTTTTGGAATTCTGTAATCTCACACGAGAGAATTCCTCATGGCCGATCACCAATGCCCTCATCCTCGATCGTACCGGTGGACCCCGTCGACTCGGCAACAAACCGGACATTGCAAGGGTAGTAGAAGACACGCTACAGGTACCTGTCGTTGACGAGCTGAGTGGAATGGGATCATTCTGCGAGCAAGTAGAACCGGTTACTAAGGCGGATTTATTTGTTGTACCGCATGGTTCTCAGAACGTAGTTTTTCTGTTTGCTCGACCAGGGGCTTTTATCATCGAGGTTTTTCCGTTTCTGTTTTACTCAACAGCTTTCAGGAACTACACTCATGCAGCCCAGTTACATGTTTACTCCCTGTTGGGGCTGCTACCTCCCGGTGACTGGCAGTTGAGGTTTTTCTCCATTTTTGGCTGGGATTTTTGCTTCGATAAATTGCGGTGGTGTAAGAATCATGCTCGGGGTCAGAAGATCTATGCCGACCTGAATGAGCTAGAGAAGGCTTTGTCGATGATTAGTCGTACGAACGGTTCTTTCACCTGACTGGAGTGAGCTTGGCATACAACAGATCCAGTAGGTTTGATATTCTTTTGTACTGAGCAATAAGGTGTTCTCACAACGATGATTCAGGTATTTGATGCAAGAGCACTTAGTTGTGTGAATTGCAGCTATTGTAATTGTGCGAGCCGATTTGCTCGGTGTTGTTAAAAGCTTGCGTGTCCAGCGTGACCATCTTACGAGCAGCAAGAGGCAGAGGTTAGGCTAGGTTAGTTTAGAACATTCAATGCCACGGAGAAACCCATACAAGAGGCAAACTTAGTAGATTGTAAATTAGCTCCTCACCATTGTATTGGATGACACATTTTAAATCAAAATTAATACACCCCCACCCTAGTGCGGGTGTTCGAAGACCAAGTTTCATGGCATTTTTCGTGTCCACAAGTAGAATGTTTTGTGATGCGTGATATATTCAAGTGGTGTGTCTGCATTCCGCGCAATGGAACCTTCGGCCCCTTGGGCTTGAGGTCAAATTCCTGCATTCTCGTAGAAACTTGTGAGGATACCGCAGAACACAATGCGTTTTGCAACACGCAGTTTCAATACTTTTAAGCTTTGGGCTCAAAAGACTTTAACTGGGATCAGATCGGGGAGGAGATGCCGAAGATAGTACAGAGGCCGAGAAAGTGATCGGCAGGATGTACAGTCAGATTCGGCAAGCCTTGCCCCGTATGTGAAACTCCATTTCCAACAGACACATGAGGAGAAGAGTTTGTACTACCACGGATGCAACCCGAGTTGTACCGCCAGTGTCCACAGTTGAACAATAGAGAAGGCGGGTACGAGATGGGAGCTCGTGGAAGCGAGGAATACTTCGCTTCATCATGGACGGTCTATCTTCGAACTGTAAGGTGAGTTGTCGTGCGCGGAGCAAAGTATGTTCCGCTTCCTGGAGTCGCAAGTTTGTCATGGATCTTTTTTTTACCCTTCTGATGTCGTTCCCAAACGATGCAGATTTCGGATTTGGGAGAAAATCTTCCCAGGAATGGTTCCAGGCATTCTCATGGAGACGGTGACCTAGACCGATCGTACGATCGAATGGTCGACCAGTGACGGTGTCAGGGCGAGCAAGTGCTGTGCATTGTGTGCAGTGAAATGTGACGTTCGATCGCTCCGGGAGGTTGAGCCTGGAGGGATGGATTATGTTCACCTTTTCATATGCTTTACGGCTGACAGAAACAGCGGATCAACAATTTCCACCACTCTTTTGCAGAGTTTAAGAACTCGCCTGGATCTATCGTCGTGATCGTATCTCGCCTCATCGAGCGATGTGCTCGTATTGAACGGACGTGGACGGAGAGCAACGTCCGATCAGGTTCACGGAAAGAGCAAAAGGCAGGCCATCTGGAGCGCACCAGACATCCGCTCGAGGCCCTCGACCCCTACGCACACGAGGTCCTCATTGTCACCGAGATGTACGTCAGCTTTCCACGATGTGTCCATCCGACCCCAGCGACAAGAATCTCCGAACAGCGACCGGGTGGGCCGAAGGACAGGACAGTCCTCATAGCTGCCAATTCCTCGAGGCCCGCCTGTCAGCAACGATCGCATTCCAGGCGCCAGGCCCGCACATCCACGCCGTCGTCGCCGTCGTCGCCCCCATATCCACTCTCATCACCTCGGCAGGTAGCCAGCGGCCAGCGCCGGCGACCGGAGGGCAACGGGGAGTCTGTGCGCCAGAGCGAAAGATTCGAAGAATATTACATGTGCATTCACAGCCACTATTGTATTATACTTGCACTGTGATCCATGGACGGACTAATTTCAGGAACCATGTTAATGTGCGGATTTTGTTCGAGAACGACTAACAATCGTGCGTACATTACGTGTAATTTCGATCATTTAGTGGATTTGATACTCTTCAGCTGCAAGTGGTTGTTAGAAAAGATGAAAAAACTGGCATGAGATCATCCTGGCTGCTGCTCCGTGCGCTTCACTCTCAAGTGATGCACTGGACCACGTGAACCGCTAAGAAGGGGAGCCCTCCTCAGATGTGAGAGAAGAGCACATCGACGATGGTCGAGTCGGCGCTTTGAGCTTGTCATGGCTCGGTTCTGGAAGCCCGATGAGACTGTACGTTGGTGGAGCGAGCAACAGTCGGGATCCAGCAGTCCAGATCGGACGGTGTCTGAAGACTGGAGGGTACTGGTGAAATCTTTTGGAAGGAGGGGAAAGAACCGGGAGCTTTGTCTGTGTGCACGAGCCAGTGGCCATGTTCGGAACCTGAAATGAAGGAAGGAAGGCTGGAGCCTGGAGCCCGGAGCCTGTCCCCAGCCTGCCATGTGTGAGCTGTTCGGTCGTGCCGTACGTTGGGCACCACGCACTTGGCAGTTTCGGAGAAGTGGGCCGAGTGGCAGCGGAACAAGCGCCACCGGACCTACTTTTTCCAGTTGGCCGCTTCCCGACCGCTTCGGCCGCGCTTCCTCCTCCGGTTGCACCCAGTCGCCTAGTGTATCGGCCCCGCCACGATTTCCTCCCTTTTCAGGCCCACAATGTCGACGCTGCGTCCTTTTCTCTCTTACATGTATTCATCTTGCAATTTGTTTTTCGCGCTTTTTTCCGTCTGTAAGCGGACTCCCCCTTCCCTGTCAAGTTTTACCTTCGCACTTTCCTTTAGTTGCTCGACCCATCACGGCAAGGAGGGCTTTTTTTCTCCAACTGCCGTCACCAGTTTTATCTCTTATGGGGTTCAATCTTTCACAGTTTCAATCTGACCACCAGTACTGTTTCCAGGGTATGTGGATTAATATCTTTGAGCATATGGGTTTGTTACGGTTTGTTTCGAGCTTCTACTCTACCGGTAGAATTTAATCTGTGACAGTAAAGTTTGAAAATATTTCCGCAACAATTAATTTTCGCATTCTGGAAGCAATATAACTTACATTTAAATCAGAAAGAAAAATCAGAGACAGAAAGATAAACAATGGGTGAACTATGATGAATTATGTAGTTATTAGAAATCAGAACGGAATGAGATTATTGGCTACCTTGTGTTGAATGTGTAGGATGGCATGTGGTCGTTAGTCTGAGTTAGAGTCACATCCCCCTCAAAACTAAAAGTCATGTTTACTTCCAATGTAGACATCCTTGGGAAGTCCTTACTATTATAATAGTCCTTCCATCTTGTTAAAGTGAGCACCACACCAAAAGAAAGGAAAAAACCTGTTTGCTGTGCAAATCGGTCACTTTGAGTACTTATAAAAGTTCCTAGCGAAAAGCAGTTAATGATTGTTTAAAGGGATGCAATACTCATTAAAAAAATTTATCAACCGCTTATGTGGCACTTACATCGCCATTCTAAAATGTGACACAGCCAATGTTTTACATTGTCTCTACTCTCGCTTAAAGGTGTTAAAATAAATCATCCACCACTTGAAGTAATCGTTTGTGTAATGGTGATTTGGCATGGACTAGAAATGTGTGATAAACCATTAGATTCTCACAACAAGTTTTGAGAAGTATATATTATTCAAATGATTACAGCCTTTGTGTATCCCACACATTATTATATTAAATATATTCATCTATCTTTTCAATTCTATCTATCATCAAAGTAACTTTATCCATGCATATCTTCCAAAGTCATCTACATTTGGAAAATCTTTAAGTATTTTCCAATATTGTATTTACATTATTTGTTCTAGCATTTGATTCCATGAAGTGTCATTTCAGATCTACTTTCAATCATCTACAATCAAGATATATATGTTATATTTTTGTATTTACTTGAATTTTAAGATAATCAGTTTCTTTTGACAAGCATATACAAAGACTTGGTGAAGTCTAAGAAACGAGTTTTATTAAGACTGAAAGTAGAATCCTTGATAAAGTACTTGATGAAGTATCCCAAGTCCTTTTGAAGACGATTAGCTACATCATCGTCAAAACCTTCTCTTGATTCCAAGTCTTTGGTAGCTTCTACCGAAAAGATTTATTTCTTTCCTGAAGCTACATCTATGTCATATTGCGAAGCAACACTTGGATTATTTTCGAAAGGAGAGGTGATGACTATACTCCAAAAATTAGCAAATGGCAAATGTGAGGATTTAGATGGTTTGTCCATTGAACTTATTAAGTGAGTAGGAGATTGTATTGGACTATTCTCACTAAGGTTTTGGAAGATGTTTCGGTTCATGATTTTCTATCAACTTGATCCATGTGGAAGATTGTTCTTATTCATAAATCAGTAAGAAATGACGTGGTGAGAAACTATCGCACTATCATCGTTGGTAGTGTTTTTGCCAAGTTGTTGGGAAAGTTGGTAAAATTAAAGTTGAACACATGAATAGATGGTTTTCCATAGAGAGCAAAGGTCCAAGCTGATTTTTGCCCTACATAAAACACTATTGATTATATTTTGGCCTTGACTGTTTTATAGGAGAAATCCATGGGCAATGGTAAAGTTTTATTTTGTGACTTCATCGATTTGAAGAAAGTTTTTGATATTGTTCCTCGTAAGATTTTATGGGAAAAACTACAAGATATTGGAGTACCGACTAATTTTCTTGGAAACATGGCCACTTTATACACTTCAGTTCAAGCTAAGATTGATGTATCTCAATCTCAAGATATCTTGAGCAACATTGGAGTTATTCAAATTATCATCTCTCCCTTACTCTATTTGGAATTTTCATAGATGAAATAGAAAGATGGTTGGATGATTGTGAGTGTGAAGGAGTCAAACTTGGAAACTTTGTCATCAAAGCTATTGTGTATGCAGATGATATCATATTGCTAGCATGTGATACAATTAGTTTACAAAATTAACTTGATACTTTGGCTAGTTTTTGTACTCAAAATCATATAGAATTCAATTTGGAAAATTCAAAAATCTTTTTTGTTGTCACTAATTCAAATTTTTTCTTTTTTATTAAGTACTAGAATTGGAAACATGAAATGTTTGTAATGTTTTACTTTTTTTTAATCTTGTGTAAAGATGTTAAAATGATTGTGGTATATGACTTATCATACATCATTTGAAGTAATTGTTTGTGTAATGTTGATTTGACATGAATAAGAAATGTGTGATAAACCATTCAATTTTCACAATATGATTTATCATAATACTAGATTGCATGAGGTGGTTGAAACCTTTTGATTTGAAAAATCAAATCTTACGCTTAAGTTGTAGAAGATGTTTTATTTTATTTTTCAAGAACAAGAAATTGAAAAATCCAATCAATTTACGTGTAGAAAAAATGTTAAAATTTCATGTTTATATGAAATAGAAAATAAAGATGTCAAAAGTGTTATCATCAATTTTTTTGTGAAACACTTCATATTTCCAATATACATAATAGTGTGTTAACACTATACTATAGTTTAAAATCATTTGGATATTTGTAATCGATACCAGCCACGAGGTTATAATTGAGATCAAAAGATTTATTGGAAATATGAAATGTATAACCAAAAAAATTGATGACAAAACTTTTGATATCTTCATTCTCTATTTCAGATAAATATGAAATTCACACATTTTTCTTACGCGCAAATTGATTGAATTTTTTAATTTCTTGTTCTTGAAAAAATAATGAATAATCTTTGTAGCTTCAACGAAAAATTTTATTTTCAAATCTAAGCTTTCTACCATCTCATGCAATCTAGTACTATCTGCATTTGTCGATTGAGAACATACCTTCCCTTGGATATCATTGAACAAATGTACTTGAACATCTACTCTACACACTTATGTAATCACTTTAACTCTCGAATTTGAGTGTTTGCAAGAGTTAAAGCAACCGTTTACCTCTTGAACTCATGTCAAAATTACTTCAATTATTCAAAAATCGTTTGCAAAAGTTAAAAAACATCATCTTGAACAGTCGTATTATATCAACTTGATATAACTTAGCAGTTTGTCCAAACTTCTTTGATCTCACCCGAATGCCAAAAAGTGAAGAAATCATTGAATTTTGGCCTTGCAACTCCGTACAAGAGGAAAGTTTCCAAACCTGTACATTATTCTCAATTTTCTCAGTCCACAAACTTTCAATTTCAATTCATGCTACGTCTCAAAGATACAACTTTTTGATTATTTTGATTACCATACAAACAGTGGATTAAAGAAAATATTTCAAAAATTCCATAACTTTGGAATCTATCATACATTCAGATTCAAACTTTGCAAGTTAATGCTCACCACTGGTCTCCCAGTCCTTACAAAGTTTCAGATCATGTCATGTTCCGTCTCCAAGATATAATTTTCTGAAGATTTTGATTACAACACAAAGATTCAAAATTCAAAGTCAAAATTCCAAAAATCACGTAATTTTGTATTTCAACATCCATTTAACATCAAACTTTGCAATCTACAACACACTATTGGTCTCCCGATCACTATAAAATTTTAACATCAATTCATGTTACATCTACAGGATATAACTTTCTGAAAATTTTAATTAACACCCAAAGATTCCAAAAAAATATAACTTTTCGACAATAAATTGCTATCTATATACTTGTAGGCTGTTATACAGATATACTATTGAACTCTATAAACAAAATGCATATTGTATGATAATATGTCCGATCAGTTTTAAACTCACACTATTGTATATTCATGTGTTTGTTTCATTAATATTTGTGCAGATTTTTTCATTACAATTTAGTGTCCATGGATGTACATCAGAGTAAATCATGAAAACCACTTATAAAGGTTCAAAGTAATATCATGAATTTTAATTTTAACACTATATTATATGTTAAAATCACCTTGATATTCTTAGTCGATACCACCTACGGGAGTATAACCGAAATCAAAAAGGTGCAGATTCGAGTTGTACCTGCAGATTACAGAATGGACATGCAAGAATGCAAAAGAAATTGGATGGCGATGTCTGTAGGTAAGAGAAACGCCAGATAACAATCCACGAAAGACAACATTCAAGAGTGGAAACAGAAGAGAATGATTAGCAGGTACCGCGGAGGGATGACCTAGCTTGGTTGCTATGGATACGGAATAGAATCCAGAGGGTGCAGTAAACGCAGAAGTGAAAGTGTATCAAGTCACACTTGTTCTGTATATCTAGCAATACTGAGTACAAGTATTCAGTGCGAGCTCATGTTACGAGGCATGCTAAAACCTGAACTGACTGATACCCTAACAGGAGAACATGAATAGTGGTGAAAGCTTAAAGGCTTCGGCAGAGTCCATTTGGTCAAGAAACACCTAGAGCTACTGACAAGGAAAGACTTCAAAATTGTATATAAAGTGCATACATTAGAGCAGCAGAAGCAGAACAAGTTGTTGCTAGAGTAGTTTAGTCCCGTATACAGGAGAAGAGTACATCTTATCATTCAAAAATCAGCTTATAGCTCTAAGTTTCAATCCAGTTGACCCGAACCTCGTACTTTACTGATTTGCACCTCGGCTAACCGATTAACTCCGATTAACCGAATCGGCTAACCGATTTTGATTGGTCACCTCTGTTAACCTGTGAAATTGTTTAAATAAACTCTAAGTGACAAGAAAGTAAAGAAAGATCGTGTACATGTGAGTTCATAGGACATAAACGCAGCTTTCAAGCCAAACTAAGTCATAATTACTTAGTATATAACCGTTGTTGTCTTTCTATTTGCATAGATTGTAAGTGATTGTAACACACAACATTGACTTAATCAAATGTCATATTACTGACCAATCATTGTGACTCATACGTCAGAATCTTCAGTGTACTAATAGCGAACCCAAAATCAAGTTCAAGGAGCTTCTGAAAACCAATTCATAACATCTTGATTAAGAGCGACTCCTTGCTCTAGTCTAGGAGTTGCTCTTATCTACGTCAGTTTCGAACAAAATAGGTGATAAGAGATATTGATAGATTTACACTGAATGAAGACATAAAAGGAAAGGAGAAATAATTATGAGAATTCATTTTAAATTTTTAAGAAAACGTTTCCTCTTCAAGGATTCCATCATAAACAATCAAACAAACAATTACATGTCTGCCGTACTCTTCTCATCATTAAACTTAGCCGGCAGGGAGCCACACAACTGCAACAAGTAGAACATATAGCACAAAATGCTTCAATTTACACCAAGCTTGACACACTGACTAAAAGCAACCAAGACATTACACATCCCTTAAGCAACAAAAGAAAGTGTAAGGAAGTGTCGCCATAGTGCAAATTGTAAGAAAAAGACACATTTTAGAAATGTACAGAATGTTAGAATACATTGAAAGTATGAAATATGTGTGTATCTCGATGAAGACGAATAACCATTGGGTGTTGCGGGACATGTATCATATTTTTTTTATGAAATACAAAAACATGTATTTTGACGTATATGAAAGTTAGAATTATACAATGTACAGCTAGTAGGTCTTCTTTTACTGAGTATGCGCAGCGCATAATTCCACGGCATAAGTGAAAGAAAGCCAGGGCTAGGAATGTGTCGGTATTGTACACATCTTAAGAAAGGAACCCCTTTGAAAAAGACTGTGAGTCTTCAGTTGGAGCAGGGTGAAAGCGCGCTCTGTATTTCCATTTACAGTAATGACCAATTTTGCACACACATAAATAAATTGTGGGAATAAGAAGTGACTTGACTTTGTTCAAAAAGACAGGTGACACGAAACAAATGAGTATATCGATAAGTTAGAGAAGCAAATGTTCTTGTGGCAGGTGGTTATTCTCTCCAACCTAACAAACTTCGACGCCTTCTCTAACTGGTATACTGGTTGTCAGGGCATTTGCCTGTCCACATTCTCATCGTGATCTTCAACAAAGACTGCTGCAAGCTAATTCTAAGAACACTCCACCTAGTAGCTGCAGAGAAAGTTGTAGTATCAGGATTGGGAGTCTGAGAACTAATATGACTAGACGTTGGATAGATAAAATCGAGGTAAAATATAATCACTCTGGGTCTATATTCCAGGAAGTTGGCCACTGACCACTGAGATGAGACTCTAACGTGTGCGAAAACTAAGGGACATGAGTACTCTGCGTCACGAGGACCCATTTTGTATGACTGCAACACACTGATCTTCCCAACAGCTTGCAAAATTCGTAGCTATACGGCTAACGCTTAGCAGAGAAGACGAAAAGGTTCAGTCCACACAGAGATCGATAAACTGGTTCACATATTCGTTAATATGACTGCAAATAGTTATCTTCCAAACAATTTGCAGAATGTACAGAAATACGGCCAACACTTGGCAGAAAAGTCGGTAAGGTTAAGTCCTTACAAAGGTTTACAGATTGGTGCTCCTATTCGTTAGTTGGCGAAGAAATGCAGAGGCAGGAATTCCATATCATGATTCTTTCCACCAATCGTAAAATCACATCGAGGACTGATCAACTGGTATACATCAGAGCTCTTTGCTAAATTGTGAAACATCATGACCATTTAAAGACTCTCTCACACATAGAAAAAAGACAAATGCAATCCAATATATCGACACGATCGAATTGCAGCGAAGAGGTATACAGAGGGTTTCCCGACTAAATGTGCAACTAGCTATGTACATAGAAAGTCAGACATCAGGGAGGGCCTGCAATCATGCTTCTCCTCCTTTCATTCCTGGCATCATCAGATTCAGAAACACATTTTAATGATAAACCTATAACCACACCAAAAAAAAACTCAAAAAAATATTCGAAAACATTATACAGAAGAGTTAATGCACTCGTTTCACACCTATACATATTGGACGTTCTCCGGATACAAGTGGTTCAGTGTAGAGAGAAATTCACCTTGATGCTGAGAGTCTAGTCCCTGGCCGAGGCAGACGAAGACAGTGAATTGCTACTAAAGCACTGCCTCGGCTTGACAGACAATTCTCCGTTCAAGATTGCAGCATGCTCGTCCGTGTTGGAATGCCAGGCATAATTTTATCACTTACTCACGAAACCTCGCAAGAATTTTATAGATTTATTGACGGGTGAATTTGCAGCCATAGAACTGTAGAGTGCATTCTCGAGGTCAGCAGAGTCGGGCCTTCGCTTCAGACTGCTCACACATTTATAAGTTTCTCCTTCTTTGACAAATATAAGCCAAGGTCTTCCAGCTGGGGCTCCGCTTTTGACATGCTTTAAAATTGCTCCCTCCGTTGTACTAAAGAAGCCCTTAATGGCTAAGGGGGTGAAGGAGTACGCAACCTCAAACGATGATAGTAGAGAGCCCCATCTTTGATCCCCTTCTTCCTCCCCAGACCACTCTCCATTGAGGACAACTATCGGCCTGTGTCCGGCGCTTCTTGATATCGAATCAAGGGCTGCAGCGTGAGTGAATTTGGGTGCAACAATTATAGCCACCGCTGTATCGTAAGGTACTCCTTCTTCGCTCTCCAAAGAAAAAAACCGTGATGCAAGGACTTTGCTGGCATTGACGAGGTCCGTGGGGACGACTTCGAGCAACGTGGAAGGAAAGTATACGGCAACCGAGCCGAAGACTTTCTTGTCGCCGAGGAACGACTCAATTAAATCCAATGTTAAAGAAAAGAGTGCTTGAGGCGACTCGTCCAGAACCGGAATGTCAACTCGAAGTCTTTGTTGCCGCAGCGACTTCCGCTGCTTCACAGTAGTAGGCCCTGAAGCTTTCAAAGCTTTCTCCAACAAGGACGATAAAGAGCCCCCGGCCTGCTCTACGGTCTCCTCCCTACTCCGCGGCGGAAGATCATCACCAACTCCGCCTTCGGCAAGCTTTGAGGAGATTCGAAAACGACTCCCACTTCTCCTCCGACTTCCCGCACCTGAGAATCGCTCGACGCGTTGCGAGATTCCTCTCCCCCTCGACGACAAATCCTGCAAGTCAACAGACAAATAATTTCTTGGACGCGCGGTCACTCTACTGATCCTCGAGGCATATGTAGAAATCGTTGACGCACACACCACGGGCGCACCAAAACTCAAGGCAATGCAACACGAAATGGCACCCGCCATTGCGGCACCCTTGTGTGAAATGCAGGTTTGAATCCCAAATCCACTCCCCCACCTCCTCTTTCTGCTCGTCGTGCCGTGGACCTCGTTGTACTGTAATCTTCTTCGTCATTCTCGCAACCCTCTTTCCCTGGCTACGAGACAGATCATGCAAGTCGCGGTCGTACTTTCCTATAAAAGGCAGCGGCTCAGGAGCCAGAACAGGATCCCAATTTCTTGGGACTCGGAACCTCCTTCGCTCCTGTCCCCTGATGCACCACTGTCTGTCCTTCGGTTCTGTCTGCCTCTATAACAGCTTTCTAATTTGACCGCTGTAACTGCGAAATCGACTCCGTTACGTGTACGCTACTATAGTATCCCACATCTGTACGAAAAAATGACATTTTCTCCTCTTTGCACACTAATGTACGGCTATCGTTCTTAAGTATAAAGGCAAAGAATTCATTTATTCTCCTAGCTATACAACTACGACGTTAATCAATCACGACGCCAATTTTCCTTCTGCATGGCTTCGAACTTCTAACATCCTTTATATAATAATTGAAGCATAATTCAATCAACTGGAATTAATCAAAAACCATGTAATATATTTTTTTTATCTTTATTCATATTTATCTAACTATATTATTATATGATTCTTGGTAAGGTGCTAGCATAAAGAATAAAGTCTGAATAGAAATGTACTTTTACCTGATTTTTTAATCCACTATCTATTTTGAAACGTGTAACCTCCACCAGATATGAACCTGCTTCATCTCTCTTATATCAACTTCATAAACTTATAAAGGCTCAACAAATTTAATCCTGCATAGATCCTTGGATCCCCAACCCCACTATTCAACCCAGAAAATACTTATTCTCATGCACATCTGAATAGTAAATAAATAATCGTTTTACTCCAAGTGAAAGTTGATTTTAACAAAATATTGACGATTGACTCTATCAATAGAGTTCAAATAGTACTTTACAACTATAATTTTTTTTTAAAAAAAACAATAGTTAACTCTTCTTATCTGAATGATTTAAAGGAATGAATAAAATTTAGGTAGGTGGAACAGATTGTTTATCATATCTATCAAAACTTATAGCAAATTTTTAAGACATTCTGCCGTGTCATTAAGGTATTTGCACTTAATAAATTTTAAAAAAATTTAATAAAAAACACAAACTGTTATAAATTTTCATGTCATCATAAATTAAAATATGTTGTATGCACATTATCTTATAATTACTATATATATTGGATTCTTCATTCTAATTTACTTTTAATCATATAATTATTTGATATAATTGATTTGATGTATATATTACCAAATGAATTAAGTACTATCATATGAATATAAAATTTCCGACTTCAAACACGAATAATCCACTTCACTTATTTTGTAGTTGGTTAAAAGAATATCCAGATAATTGAAAAAAACTAAAATTAAATTTTTATGTTTATTTTTATTAGTCATTAAAGTGTTTCCAAAAAAGGTCACACTGTTTGATTCTTTGATTTATCATGAATATTTGCCAACAATCAAGTTTATCAAAAAACCATACGTATATCCTACTCATCAATTTTTGCATAATATGCAATTAAGCAAAAAAATGCATAAATTTCAATTTCTTTAAAACTAATTCTCTAACCAGTATCAAATTTCACAATAATATGATTTTTGATTATAATTAATTCAAAATTTTAAATTTATAAAAAAAATTGTTTATTTTCTAAAAAAATAATTATAAAAAATGCAATGATGTTATTATAGAATAAAAGTTAAGTTTCATGTGTTATTACGCATTTTAAAAAAATTATTGACTCCAAAGTCACATAAAAAAGAAAATTTGATCATGATTCTTAAATAAAAAAATCGTGATAATTTGAAATTTATATGGCAATTTTTACCACTAATTTGTAAATTTTTTACTTTAATATCATATAAAAATTTGAATTTTTTCATAATTTATAAAATTTGAATTTTAAACTTATGAGGAACAATCATTATGAAGATTCTAATACTCTCATGTATATGTCATTTGAAAATTTTATCAAAACAAAGTTTTTCAATGAAGTTATCAATAAGTAAAAAACGAGTTTATTTATTAAAATAAAAGATATCAATTTTTATCTCTTATAAAAGAAAATCAACACTAGTTTTACTTAGATGTTCAATTGTAATCTGTATTAATAATTATGATAAAAATATTTGATTGGAGTTCAATTCAAGTACAAAAGAAGAATTTTAAACTTGCAAGTTTAAATGAAATCACAAAGTTAAATATGCAATACATCATTAAAAAAAATTATTTATCTCCAAAATTTGTTTATTTATAGTTTTTCATATATGATAAATTGAATTTTCAAAATATCTTGATACAACAAAATTCATGTTAAGTTTTGTTTTCTCAATATGAAGTAAATATTTATATCGTAATTTCAAAACTATGATGTAAAAGACAATAAACATATTGAATTTTCATTAGATTAATCATTTTTTTCAAAAACACTACACTAATATAAAAAAAATAGCTGAATTGGAAAATTTTGATATGAAAAGTATCAATCCAATAATTATGATGAATGTATCATAAGATGTGATCATTTAAAGCTTTATATTTGTTAGATTTTTCATTGCAAAGAAAAAGAAATTTTCTTAATACACACGTCATATGCATAGACATGACTTTGATTAACATTCAACATACGCAATTTATCATTGTGTAGTTTTTATATGAAAATATTGCATACTATAATAAGAAAAATCATAAAAATGTCACAACATTTTGTTTGAATTTTTATTCAGTTGATGTTTGACTTGCACTAATTCAAATCAACATAAACTGAATTATGAGTAGATATGTATTGATGTATGAGATATGAACATTTAAAATCTAATAGTTTAATCTCATTTGAATCACAAATTTGCTCAAATTTTGTTTGCCAATCTTGTTGTTTTTTGTTAAGTATTGAACTACGCAATTTTGCAAATAAAAACTAATTGATTCATCCATCATTAAATGTAAACACATACTTATATGTAAATATAATTATATATAGATTTTGTTTATTATCAACTTAACATGTCAAAGGTTTGGCATTGTTCAATTAGCCATGAATAATAGTTTTACACACATGAATACTTTTGATATATCTAAAAGTTTAAACATCTTTTAAATGCATTTATTTTAAATTGGATATAAATATATTCACCTTGACCTTTTCAAGCGCAATATAAAATAATACACATATCATAAGTTGCATAATGCTTTGTCATCATTAATCTATAACATCTTTTCTTTCTCAACGACATCAAATAAACATTGAGCTCCAAGACACTTGAAGTTTGGTAACAAAAGAAAACACATTTACTTACATTTTAAAATTTTAATTTGTTTCAAATATAATGAATCATTTTGAATTAATATATGCATATCAAATTTTTTAAAAATTATATGAAGATACATTTTCAATATAATAGAGTATTTCTCTAAACTATTCATTTTCAATGTACATTTCAATTGATTTTTGCAAATATCAACATTAAATTAATTCATTTCCATAATAAGCATGTTGTTCATGTGAATAATAATAATAATAAAATTATTTATTTATTATTCATTTTCATTTAATTAGATACATGTATGATCAACAATTTGTAATATTATATATATATTAATGAAATTATCAAACATTGCATTTAACCATTCAAAAGTTTTTATATTTAACCAACATGACATATAAAAATAATTGTGAAGTCGGTGGCATTAACAATATTTTGACTATCAAATGTAATAAAATTGACATATACAATCAATTTTGAAGATAATGTCAGTGATTTGACAACCAAATGTTATAAACATGACATACACAACTAATTTTATATGCAACGGCGACTTGAAGTGTGTATAGCGGTGATAGTGTCTTCAATTTGTTTGAAGTATATATTGAGAGTCTCAAATCATTGTACTTTACTCGTGTCAATACAAATTGCATCATACTTCTTCTTTTTTTATTGCAACATATTTTGTTGACTTCTATATTTACTTCAACTTTGTTTTTATTTTGATTTGAGGTGTCTCTTTAGTTCTAATTTCTGTTTGGATCAAGAGTTGCGTTTAATCAATACACTGATTTTAGTTTTTTTGTTAAAAAATTTGAAATAACATTTTTGAAATTAAAGTAATTAAAAATATTTCAATGTCACAAATGTGATAAGTTTAAATATAATCTAAAATTTCTTCATCATTAATATTTTTTTGCATGTTGCAAAGTGCAACTACTAACATCATAATTCATTGTCAAACATCGAACTTAAAACTTTTTAATCATTTAAGCTGAAACATTATCGTTAACTTTGATTTTCACACAACGATATTTTTAAAAGTGACAATTCTTGACTTATTTCCAATATAATTATTTTTTAAGAATATTCAACTCAATTTATATTAGAGCAATTAACCAATTAGAGCAGAGAATCCACATAGATTCCAAATCTGAGCTGCTATCCGATAGCAAGCAATTAGTGGCATTATTCAACATTGCCAAGGATATATGATATCTTTCGTCACATTGCTTTTTACTCTTTGCGTCGGACGCAGGTGTGTTGGTTGTAGAACAAAGTGGAGTGATCGTTCGGACTTTGGTACCTTCAATGAGGTACATCAATCCTTCAACTCGAAGGATCCAACTTATATGATATTTCCAGAAGTGAAAGTGCTTCCCATCAAGTTTGGGAAGATCTTTTTATGCAACTCCGATGAAAGTCCATGGAGAACTCATCTTTCTCAAAATGTTTGTTATTCTTCATGTTGGTCATGATGTGGTGTAAAATGCTGATACCACTTTCATTACTTTCATAACTATCGCAAAATCTGAAATTTTGTGCTTGAATTTCATGAATCTTTAAAATTTCGAGCAAATTTTTTAAAATATTCTAAATTCGGACTCCCCTAGTGCTTCAGATCAGCACTGACAGTTATTCAACAAATTTGTCGGTCAAATTTGGAGCCGAAATTTAAAACCTGAATGGATACGGTAATTGCTATGTATCTACGGTAATTGCTCTATCAGTTAGCATATAGGTGGTTCAAAGTTAGAAGCATACTCCTAGTTTTTATTGATTCAAGCGTACTTGAATAAGAGTAGAACTTGCTTTGATACCATATTAGATGAATAGAGCAATGAGAGTTGAAAATTCACACAGAGTTTGAGAAAGTATTGAATAGATAATTGTTTATGAA